TATCCTAACTACACTCGACATTTCATTTTGCGTGTGGATGCTTCTGATCTTAGTCTTAGAGGTGTGTGTAAACCCCTAAATTTGGACTTCCCGGAAAGTCACCCAGCCCAATACTATTCAAACCCAAAGACACTTAACCCCAAATATCCCAAGACCCTTAATCAATTGGAAAAAGGGGTGCATGTTTATGGGCCCTTTCCCTCTATATTTGAACCCCATGGATCGTCTCTCGAGTTGTTCCCTTTGGTTGCTTACAATGTGTTGATGCAAGAAAGCCCAAATGTGTTTGGTCAATGCCATACCATTGCATGTATAAACTGTACATTACAACTAGCAGAGGTGAACTACTCCATAATAGAGAACAAGTGTTTAGCAGCAGTCTGGGGTTTGGAAAAACTTTATGCATATCTACATGGTTCTCCACATTACTAGAAGATGATCATATTGCCATTACTTCATTATTGAAGCAGAAGAACCTGGTTGGTTATACTGTTCAATGGGCTTTGAAGCTTTAGATATATGATTTTGATGTTGTTCATCGCCTGGGGAGTTTTATGGTTCATGTTGATGCCCTTTCTCAAACTCCTTTTTCTTCTTCACTTTTTTCTCATATTTCTGGCGAGTTTGTTGTTTCAGCATCTGTGGATTTTCTCAATGAAAATTCTGTGTTGTTAGCAGTTGTAATACTTGACATTCAATGTCCACAAGGTGCAGAGTAAGATCTACCTTCTTTTGATGAGGTTCACAAGGCTCAAAAGATTGAGCCATAGATTTGAAGGCTTTGAGATGGGTTTGAGAATCCTATATCACTTGCTAATGATTTGCTATTCCAGCATTTATATTCTCAATATCACCTTGAAGATGGCCTTCTTTATTTTATGGGGACGGATCCTAATGATCCTTTACGGCTGGTGGTGTCTTCTGTCTTATTCCACGATTTCTCCATACCTACCATGATTCTTCTGTTCTAGGTAAGCATATGGGACATCATTGTGTGACCGAAAAACTGTGTAGGTCTTTCTATTGGCTGGAGATGCAACATGATGTTATTCGGTATGTGCATAGTTGTGTTTGGTGCCAGGCTCGTAATACTCCCCCTCGTGCCATAGAAGGATGGTTGGAGTCAATTGCAGTTTCTCATCCATTTGAGCTGGTGGCATTTGATCTTATGGGACCTTTTCCATGATTGACTATTAGCAATGAATATATTATTATTGCTTCTGATTATTTGACTCGTTGGATGGAAGTTGGTGCTCTAGCTAGCACCTTTGCAACTACTATTGGATACTTCCTCCTCAATCGAGTGGTGTTCTAGCATTCTTATCCAGAGCAGATTCTTTCGGATAATGGTTCCGTATTTATGGCTGAGGCATTTCACGTTTTGACGTCTTGATTGGGGATATGCCACACTTTCATTGAGTTCTTATCATCCACGGTCAAATGGTTTGGTGGAACGGTTTGTTCAGACATTCAAAGGAATGATTGCGAAGTACGTGAATTTTTAGCATTCGGATTGGGATGGTTATTTGTGGTCTCTTCAATATGCATATATCATAAGGGTGTAGAGTTTTGTTGGTGCTTCACTATATAAATTCCTATATGGTCATGATCCAATATTACCAACAAAGCTAGGTTTACCTTCGCGATTACCACGAGCTGCTAATGCTAAATCATGGGATTAGTATTTGACGAGCATTTTTCCACTTGTCTAAGTAGAGTCTGCTAAACATTTAGGCTGCATATAAGTGGGATAACAATGGTGTTACAGCTCCCATCATCGTCCACCAGTGGAGTACAAGGTGGATGACTTGGTGTTAGTCTATTTTCCCCATCTTACGGTACGTGGTTTATCTAAGGGGCTCCTTACTCAATAGAAAGGACCATATCGAGTGTTATGGCAAGTTGGACCACAAGTTTATGAAATTTGCCATAACGTCCAGCAAGCTGATTCTCTAAAAATTGTGCATGTACAATAGTTGAAACGCTTTGTATAAAGAGATCAGAAATAGTTAATACCACTTATAGATCTATTGATGCCTCCTCCTAATGTTCCTCCAGATCCCGGCCCATCTACAAGAGAACTCTGATGGTCTTTCATTATTCTGAGAGGAGGGGATGATGTGAAGTTCAAGTGTACAGCTATGATGTTATATATTAATATTAGCATAGTGGGATTTTAGTAGCCGTCAGATTGGTTTCAATGGACCACTCACTCCTGTATATAAATTAGGGTTTTTGGGCTAATTAATATACACATTTTTTGTATTTTGCACTCACAAAGGCATACTTTCATATTAAACAAACATCATGATAATAAAATAAAGAAATCACTTGCCTCATTTTGCATCCTTTATCCTTTGCCAAACTAACAACAAGAAGGCTAATAGCAGGAAGCCTCACATAGTTTGTTAACTTTTGCTAGATGAGTGTTTTCAGCACCATCATAACATTTATGTCTTTGGCTAGGAAATCTTGGACAATATCTGAAAATGAGTTTTTGTTCCTCTCTCTATATCTTTGTCTTTTTCCTTGTCACCTTTTAGGTTCATTCATGCCTATAAAGAAAGATATTATGTACGGTTTAGTTTGCTGTCCTACAATTACCTATCTCCATGTCCATTCTTCAAACCCTAGGCATAGTGCCTTTTCATTTCTTTGGTTTGGTTTGGTTGGTGACTTTAACACTGATTTTTTGGTATTTTCTTGCCAATTATCAAATAGTAAAAGAGCTTCTTGTTACCACTCATGATTGGTACAATGTGTGTTAGTTGTTTTGCTTTCTTATCCTGGGAAGTGGTTATTGTTGACAACAGGCTTTGATTCAAGGTTAAGTTTTTGGAAATTTTTTATAAAATGAGGTGCCCTAAGCAAGGTCCTACTGGAAAATCACAAGAAAAGAGGTGGAGTTTTGAATAGAATAGGGTCCTAGATCGTTCTCTGTTTTTGGACAGAGATTCAGTATATTAGTATGGCCTTAAGAAAAAACATAAATGCATCTAGGTGAGAATGTATTGAAAGTGCTATGGATGTGGAAAGAATAAACAGCTCTCACAGGGGTTATTATTGTATGAGTCTGAGAGATCCTTCTCTTAGGGATCAAATTGAACAGAAAACCATGATGGGCTAAGTATTGTATCCCTTGACATATAATCTCTGCCTTGTATCACAATTTCTGCTTCTGCAATTGCTTTGCATGAGTCTGAATCCATGTAATGCAAATTCAAAGATCCTTTTCATCTCCTCGCTGTAATTGAGTAGAGCATAAGCTCCAATGAGAACCGTGCAAAATCACCACAGTTCTCTCAGGCATTCTCTCTTGAGAATGTGCCATTTGATTTATCTCACTCAATCTGTTTTGCTTGCAAGTCTGAGCAAACTCCCAATCTCTTAAGTCACATGTTTTTTTGCAAGCAATTTACATTTTAACCCATGCATTTTCTGAGAATATCACTTAAAATTGATCTATCCCTTTGATTGAGTTTGGCTTTAGTATTAGGTTTTTTTTTTCATAAATTGCTAATGCATAAATTACATTCACTACTTTCAGGGTGCATCTTCTGCCTTGGTGTTGAAATGGGCCAACACAGAGAAAGAAAGGCAAGCTCGAAAGATGCAAAAGTCTCAAATGCTATCTCCTGCAACTAACGGTGCTTTGGCCACAACCTGCGTCTGTGTCATTTGGAGACTTTTTACATTCAAATTTCAGCCGTTAGATCTTAGAATCTTAGAAGAATATGTGACGCTTCGTTTAAATTTATGAGTATGATTCCCAAATCCACAACTTAAACACCATATAGAATATTATAACTTGAACATAAGAACTATATATAAATCCTACTGCATTAGCTCAAACTTCTACAACAAAATGTGAAATGAAATTAATTTGAAACATCATACTCTTATTCTGAGTTTTCAGATATTGGTGTTTTAATACCAAATTTATGGTCTTATGACTCTTGCAGAGTTTGCCCATCTTGAAAGTTTAGCTGAAAGCAATCATTTTGACCATGTAATAATAAAAAATATATAATGTATGCTTAGATATTGAGATGCCACATAATCTCTTGAGAGTTCTTTCCAACCTGTGAAAGTCTCCCATTGGTAATGTTTTGGGCAACACTTGGCTGATCAAATTATTCTGGATGCCTAAGGAGCACCAATATCATACTCATCAGTTGGCTTTAACAACCCATCCCACATAGCTTTTGAAGCTTTGAGGGAGTCTGTCAAGGCAACAAGAAACAGTTTACCAAAGAATTTGAAAAGATCTGTAAGAAGAGATCATACGGTGTCAGCTCTTGATGAATCTTGTCAGTCATTTCTTCACTACATATGGGTTGTGGATGCTTGTCATACTGTAACCACCTCAATTAACTACAGGATTCGGACACTTTTGTTTATATTCTCATCAAGTAAGTTCCCCTATGCCTTTCAAGGTAAATTTGAATGTATGAAGTGATTCTATATGCTCTCTTGGGTCACAAGAAAATGATTGCATACAGCTTGTTCGTTGGAGGCGTGAGTGCTATCTGTTCTACAATGAGCATGGATTGGAGGATGGTGCTTCTACTGTGGGCAATCACCTTCTGTGGATTTCTCACACGATCACTTCCTGATGAATGGTACGACGATCCTGGTTTGTTCAAGTTCTATGCTGTTTTGGTGATGAGGTGATTTACAGATTTACATTGCTTCTGGTGTATTTCTACATGTTAGAGTCTCCACTTGAATTCCTACAAGCTTGCAACAATCAGCTCCAACATTCCAACTACTTGGGAATGGATATGAGAGCTTGATGTGAAGCTGAGATTTCAAGAGATGGCTGAGGCCTTTGCCTGACTTAATTATATTCTTACCTTTGGTTACTTTTAATCAAACTGATCAACGATTTTATTGACAAATATTTTTTTATAAAAATAAAATATACAGTCATGCCGGCTTTGATTCCATTTATAATTGTTTTAAAAAATGTTTAGGGCGGCATTCCGTTTCAATTTTCTTGGACCACCAAACACTAGCCAAGGAAAGAAGAAAATGGCCACAGCCTTGCTACTGTTGCTGCTCCTACTCGGACCCAGTGAGGCAATCCCAGGTGAGCTTCATTTTTTAGGATCTAAAGTAGTCAAGATCTCTGGATCTAACATCATCCATGATCTTCCAAAGTTCACAATCATCGCTACCACTACTACCCAATCGGCGTGAACTATGGTCAGCTCGGCAACAATCTCCCCGTGCCGCTCAAGTCCGTGGAGCTCATCCGGCAGCTCAAACTCGGGAGAGTCAAGATCTACGATGCAAATCCTTCGATCCTCTCCGCCCTGGCGAACACGAGCGTCAAAGTGACGGTCATGGTGCCCAACCAGCAGATCCCGAGCGTAGCATCCAGCCAGAGCTTCGCGGACGAATGGGTTAAGTCCAACGTCACGGCGTACTACCCATTCACTAGAATCCGGACGGTTCTCATCGGGAACGAGATTCTCTCGGACTTTAGCATCCGGCAATCCACATGGCCAAAACTCGTGCCGGCCATGAAGAACATCCACAGATCTCTTGCCAAGCTCGGGCTCCATCGCAAGATCAAAGTTAGCACTCCTCACGCGCTACTAAACGTTCTCCAGGGCTACGTCTTCCCTCCTTCCAATGGAACTTTCAGGGACGACATAGCCGAGCCAATCATCCGCCCCATGCTGGAGTTTCTGCACTCCACAAACTCGCCCTTCTTCGTGGACGCGTATCCCTTCTTCACCTGGGAGTTTAACCGCGCCACCGTTCCCATCAACTTTGCGCTCTTCAATGGATCCGGAACTCCATACCGGGACCCCGGGAATGGCCTCGTCTATGACAATCTGCTCGACATCCAGCTCGACTCGATCACCGCCGCCATGGCCAAGCTCGGCCACGAGAGCGTGAAGCTCGGCTTGGCCGAGACCGGGTGGCCAACCAAGGGTGGAATCGACGAGCGAGGCGCCAACTTTTACAATGCCGCGCTCTACAATCGCCGCCTGGCCAAGAAGCTCGCAACAAAGCCTCCGCTCGGCACTCCAAAGCGACCACACCAGCAAATCCCAGCTTTCATCTTCGCGCTCTTCAATGAGAATCTCAAACCCGGCCCGGTCACCGAGAGAAACTGGGGACTCTTTGCGATTGCAGACAATGGTTCCACCGCGATTCAAAAGTACGAGATCGATCTTACTGGCAGGCTTAGCGATGGTGACTACAAACCCATGGCATTGCCGCCACCCGAGCCTTTACCAGGTACTGCTAAGATATGGTGCGTTGCTAACCAGAGTGCTTCGACTAGCCAGCTCCAGGGTGGCATAGATTTTGCTTGCGGCCCGGGTGGTGTCAATTGTAGCTTGATCACTGATCCCGGCCAACCTTGCTTCTTGCCAAACACCACAATCTCTCACGCCTCGATCGTTTTCAACGCGTACTACTTTCTCCAGAGGACGAACGGAGGGAGCTGTGTTTTCAACGGGGCTGCGTTTCTAACTTCCAGCGATCCAAGTAAGATCAAAGCTCTCCTTATTTTCTCTTTGAATGCTTTTCTTTTTTTCTTCTTTGTGTTCTTTTACTTCTGAGAGGTGTGCTCCATGCTTCAGTGAAAGAGTTGCATTGAATTTGAAGTACATCGTAAAGGAATTACTGATGTTTGTCCTCGTGATTGATAACGATTGCATGTACTGCATTCTCAGGCTACGCATCATGCGAGTATGCTCCAACTATTATCTGAGCGCTATGATCCTGGAGAAGTCAACTCACAAATTATGTTTCACACAAAACCAAAAGATTGAAAACTGGTGATTGCTTCTTCAAGTTGAAACATGATTGAAATGGAAAGCTCGCAGGACACTAACTTCCTTTAAACACTTTTAACTCTCTCTTGTACCTCTTACTCCGTATTTTCAGTGGCTGCTTTGAAACGTAGTGTAATTTAAATACAAGTTTTATGATGGCTGAAAACATTGATCGTGCTTGTTTCTACTTTGTGGGTGGAACTTGTGACGCAGACAAATTCAATATGAGGAATTTGGGCTCAAACTCGAGCCAAAACGTTAAGTATTTGATGGATGGAAAGGCAAAATATCTTTAATATGTTCTGCGTATATATGTACGCACCCCGCCCTGACCAGATGTGCACTTCTAGAAAAAAGACCTCGAACGAGTATTAGAAAAAAAGAAAAACAAGCAGTAGACCAAGTTGGTCCTTCTCCACACTTGAATCGGCAGGCGAAGTTGTGATGAAGAGAAAATTCCTGCCAGGATCATTTGATACGATGTTTTTTGTCAAGTCAATAACTTGGGTGATCTGGATCGGTGTGAGCGAGTGGTCCCCCCATGTGATTAAAGTACCTGTTTGATTGATTGATGTGGTGTGGACCTGGCAGGGCCGGCTAGCTGGAGAGCTTGTGTTGTTGAGAAGGGAATGTGTTGAAGGCTCCCTTACCATAACTTACGTGAAGTATACGTTGTCTGTGCTGGGACGGCTTTGTCCTGGGATGAATGCTCTCCATGTTCAAGATGTGATAATCTTTGGGTTTTGTGATCACGGATAAGATTAATAGCCATGTTTTCCAGATCAAAAGTCTGCGAGAAAGAGACGTGATCGCTGCGGCATATATACTGGGCTGCAAATTCTTTGGACTGATTATGCTGGCTTTGGTGGGACGAAAAGACTTGCAAGAGCACCACCCTTCAACATATATAGTGTTTATATCAAAGACGATGGACAGCGACACTGTGAGCAACGTAAGGCCTTTCTATTTATGCTAGAGCGCTCTGGAGGAGGCGAAAGCTTTGTAACAACGCGAGGTAATTGTCAAAGCCAAGATGTCAAGTCGGGTTGAAGAGACACAGCTACGGTTCCACGAAAGTCTGGCCTGAGTTTTTGTAGCTTTTTTCTTGCTGGGGGTATTCCTTGCGTCATGCCTCGGAGCTCTTGGCAGCAAGTGAAAACGAGTGATCAAATCCCAAGAAAGTTATCCAAAGGTTTACAAGCGCGTAACTTTAGAGTTGAACAAGACATAAGAGCTTTGTTTGATGATGATCTCTGATCTTTCACGCTTCAAGAATAAATCCACGTCCACGTTTTCGTCCTAGATGCTGGCATTGAATGCGATCAGGGGTCAGTCACCAGTTTTAAGGAGCATGTCCAGAAAGAACAAGGCGAAGCCTGGCCATGGCGATATCATAATTTAAAAGCAAAGTAGGGGAAAGCCATCGAAAGAGAGGGAGAGGCGTGCATGCATTGTTGCAACGCAGGCTGCAGGGCAAGGACAAGCTATCGTGCTCTGCTGCCAAGAAAAAGGAGAAGAAAATTTTGCGAGATCTTCGTCTCGCAACTCGGCTTTATCAGCTGCAGGCAACGCAGGCAAATCTGATCGCTTTTTTTTTTGTCCAGTCAGAAGTTCAGAACGCAAGGAAAACAAGAAAACGAAAAAAATTAACAAAAGAGTCAATGAATAGTATCTTGAAATTTTCTTTTTGGTATTTTTTTCTTAAACTTGGCTTGTTTTATTTTCTCTCCTTTGCCCCCATGCGCAATCATATATTCGTTGCCATATATTTCATGTTGCTGAAAGAAGTCTTCTCTTCTCTTGATATAGATCCTGAGCCTGTATTTTTAATAATGCCTTTCATACTTTTGATTAAGGAAACTAAAGAACAAAGAAATGTCTTGTACTTTATTCTTCACTCAGCATAACTTGGCTTGAGCTTGTTTTGTTTTTCTTCTCTGTATTTGTGTTTTTTATTGCACCGACCAACAATGACAACGTCCTTCGTATCCTTCGTTTTCTTTTTTCTTTTGTTTGTTTTTCTCGTTTTCCCGGAGCACAATGTAGCTGAGAAGGAAGGTCAAACACAATTGACTTCGAGACTAATTTGTGAGGCAATATTTTCTCAACCGAAAAAACAAAACAAAGAAAATAATACCACCACGCCGAGCAAGCCCGGTCGCGAGGCGGAGCGATAGTCAACTGCCACGTGTCGCAGCCGGCGATCTTCCCGCCGGCTTGTCGGCCGTACGGTGTGCCTGAATCTATGACCTCACGCGCGGGCCCATGTGGTCATGGCACGTGGCACATGTCCGCGGTGAACATAACGGCGGGCACCGACAAAACGGGAGCACGTTCCCTGTAAGATTTCCTGTTAGAGAAACGAAGATAAACTTTCCATTTATAAACTTTCTCTTTTACTTTAGATCCATATCTTTTGTCCTTGTCCCCCACTTCGAACCAAGCTAGAGACACGTTCCATTGTTCTTCGAGAAAATGCCACTCCTTTTGCGGAGTTCGTGCACCAAAACGAGACGAGAGAGAATCAACCAACCGATCGATCGATTAAACAAGCGAGGAAAAGATCTGGTCGAGAGGAACTGACCAGATCCGTCACGACGATCCATATTCTTTGCTTGAATCCGCCTTTGTCTCGTCTGCGAGGAAAACAAAAAGAATGCAATCGCTGGTGATCGATCGCAAACAAACTTTAGAAGTGGATCGAGGAGGGGAAAAGAAAATCACTCTCGATCGAGCAGCCTAGAAATCAGAGATCAAAGTGTTTCTTTCCTGGCGAGTTACAGGGATTTCTGTCCTCGACCGTGGCAACACGGAGCATGTGAGCCTCGAGTTGTTTTCACTTCTCACGGGCGAGAAAGAGGCCCCCAGCGCTGATCTGATTTGAGAAATCTGTAGGATGAGAACAAAAGTCACTGGTCATATTTACAGTACCTCAACACAAAAGAAACACATCCAGAGCCTAGCTCGACTCCGCACGAAACTTGGCTCCGTTTCAACAGCGCATTGGTGCGCTGGAGACCGCTGGACTTTCCGACTCTTCTTTCTTTCCTTCGATTAGATCCTAGTTACAGCCAATTCCTCCTGCAAGAGAGAGCAACCATTGATGAGTAAAAACCACCGAAACCGTTAGAAATGGAACGTAAACTCCGACTTACCTGCGTCACTGCGAGCCTGCGGACTGCTGCGAGTTGGAGCAGTCGTCGTCCTCAGAGTGCTGGCCGTCGAAATCCTCCTCAATTCCGCAGGAAGCATGCCCGTTTCCAAAGGCACGGATGTGGTCCTTGAGGGAGCGCTTGTGCTTGAAATCTGAGCCACAAGAGCAGTACCACAGCTTGCCGCAATTCTTCTCGTGAGTCCGCCAGTCCCCTCGCACAGCAAACGCTTTGCCACACTTCCGGCAAGGAAACGGCTTGATGCCGTGCTTCCGCTTGTAGTGCGTCTGGAGTGTCCGAAAGTCCTTGAGTGGCCTCGCACGGGGATGGTCGATGTTGTTACGGCATCCAACAGCGCAGCAGTAGCATGGAAGCCTTAGCATGGCTGTCGGCTGAGCACCTCGCAAAGATTCTGGTCCCCGCCGATACTGAGAACCATGCCCCCACATATGCATCTGGAAGAGAAACAAAGGACATAAAAGTTTGTCTTGAACTTGCAGTTTCAAAAGAAAAGAAAAGAAGTGAACCTGCATGTTGTTGTAGCGATTGAAGTTCTTGCTGCACACTGGACAAGAAAATTGTGTTGGACCGACTAAAATCTGTGCTGGAGTGGGAATCCAGTACTGTCCTTCGGAAAGCCTTCCTTTGCACCGCTGAAGCCGCTCTGCTTCGTAAGCCTTCTTTATCTCGTCGTCACTTGTCTGGACTGGGGGACCGATGCTTAGTGCCACTGTTACGTTACTGCTCCCAATTCCATCACTTTTAGTCGAATCCTGGTCTTCTTCTTCTTCATTTTCTTCCCGATACAAAGGCTGTAGGATGGGAGTCGATATTGGTAGGATTTCCTTCTTTGGATCAGCACGAGGGCCCAGGCTCAGAAAAGGCAATGTCTCCTCCTTGGAACTGGATGGCGAGGCCTGCACTGAAACATATGGGGTGTCCGATTGCTGCGCTTCTGTTTTGATCCCAGGCGACGAAGAAGCCTTCCAAGGAAATGTTTTGACACGAGCGTCGAAGAACGGAATAGCAACTGGCAGCTGCGAGACGGGTTGACTCACGTAAGGCTTGAGCCATTCCGAGAACCTGAGCGAATAGGCAGGAAGAAACCGAGTGTGCTGCTGAACCACAGTGACAGAATTCTCTCCATTGTATCTAGAGTTCATTCTCCTGCGATCAAGTAGCAAAAACGTGAGACACTCCACACATCTAAAGGCCGAAAGCCTACCTTTCAAAAGCACAGAGCTCTACAGCAAGGGCGAATTGGAATCAGAGGTTAGAGGTGCTGAAGACCATTATCGGTGTTGAGCTAAACTGGTTACATCGGCACGTGGGCAACCACATACGTACGTAGTTATCGATGTCCGCAAGAAAACACATACAGTGCGAGGACTGAGAGCTTTTGCTCGAAAGAGCGAGAGCAGAGAGGAAGAGAGAAAGAGAGTGCGAGCTAGAGTGGCGGTGTGGCAGCTCTATCGGACAACAGACGGTGTGGAAAAGGGAGCTGAATAGAGACAAATGATTGAAAAGAGAATTGCAAAGACAAGCCCGGGTGGTGTGAAGGAACGATGGAAAAGCCGGGTGAGAGTGGGACCCGAGGAATCAAAAACTGATCGGTGACACGATGGGAAGTGAGGAACGTTTGGAGCAACACGTACTCAAAACGAGGAGGAAACGTAGTCCTAGAAATTCAAGAGGGTAAAAAGAAAAACTTAGCTGATCTCGAGCAGAGTGCTTGTAGTAGCAGCAGCAGCAGCAGCAAGATCCACTTGTTTGCTCGGTAGACCTCCTTTCAACATCCTGTCAAAGCCGCCACCACCACAGGATTAGAACATATCAACAGTCTTATAGCACAACGTCACGGGAGACAGACCATCTCCAGGTGGGACCATTTTGTCAACTGTAGATAACAAGTGTTCTTCACGAACTGAGAGGCCGGTCAGCAAGACTATGCACCGCACGCTTATAGGAAACAAACAAAACACGAGTCCAAACACCATTCAGCGGTAAAGAAAGCAAAAACAAAGCTAAAGGTTTCAACCAATGCATTGATAAATACGTAGCTGCGAGTTACTTGCTACTACAAAACCAGTCAAGAAAACATGCACAGCGGAAGAAGTTGACAACAAAGAGTCGGCCAGTTTGAGACAAATGATAAATGCTTAACTTAAGGACAGCAGCATTCGCCTCGTCGAGAGAGAAAGCGATTCGTCTGTTCATGCAACGAACATAGCTGTAGCACCCATGAATGATCTATAGATCGCACAGTTAAAGTTTGCCGTGTTCTGTGAACAACAAGAAAGAAAAAAAAAGAAGAAAACTGGTAAGCCAGCTCGATGTACATGCTTAACTTAACCACGGCAGCATTCTCCTCCACCAAGAGTCTTTGATTTGTCTGTTCATGCGACGGGCGTATGCGTAGCACCCATGAATGGTCTTAGATCGCACACTAAAAGTTTGCCGTGCTCTGTGAGCAACACGAAAGAAATCAAATGAAAAAGAAAGAAGAAAACTGGTACTAGAGAGAGTACCTTGCTTGATGCTTATATGCTTAACTTAACCATGGCAGCATTCGCCTCCACCAAGAGAGTCTTGGATTTGCCTGTTCATGCGACGAGCGTATGCGTAACACCCATGAATGATCTTAGATCGCAGACTAAACGTTTGCCGTGTTCTGTGAGCAACAAGACCGAAAAAAAAGAAATTGAAAAAGAATGAAGAAAACAGGTACTAGGCTAGAGAGAGTACCTTGCGTGATGCTTAAAGTTCTTCGTAGTCAAAGGAGGCTATTGAGAAGCTGTTATCGATGCGTCCATCCAGGCTAGGCTCCCTGGAAAAATGTGAAGTACACATGGAAGAAATTTTCACGAACGACAATTCTCGGAAGATTTTACCTGGTGGAGTCAAGCCTGCCATCGCAGCGGCGCAAAGGATGCTGTCAGGAAGGATGAAATCGACATGCGGCAAAGAAGCGCCACATCTCTTTTTTAAAAGCTCGCCGATCGATCCGACCCGCCGAGTAAAAAAGATTAGAAATCTAGATCGAATCGAGGCAAGGCGAGACGAACTTACATTTTCTTTATAGTTGCCGCTCCTCGATCGGCGGCTCCAGCGCCAGAAAACAACGCGATCTTTCCCCCAATTCTTTAGAACCCTAAATCCCGTTGAAGAAGCATATACCAAAATTGTGCTTGGCCAAATGGCCAATGGTCCATGGTCAATAGAACTCCCTTCGGTAATGTCAACTTCAAAGACTTCTTCGTGTACACCTCCACCATGTGGAGGTAACATTGAGTTCCAATAGGTGGGAATATATTAATGGTTCTCTTATCAGCTAATGGATTCGCATCTAACGTCATGTTTTGTATTTTCGAGATAGAATCTAGCACAGCATCAATGGATATGCCAAGGCATCTTCGGCAAAGGCCACGTGTCCGTAGGTTTTAGAGCATATCCCTGGGTATAGGGGAGAAATTTTAAGCTTCTTTCTTCCAAAGGTCGGATTTCTGGGGACGGCGCTAGCTCCAGCGCTCTTGCGGCATCATCCGGGCGCTTAAATATCGATCGCTCGCAAGGCATCGCCACCGATCCGAGCGAGAATAGGTTCGTAAGGGTCAGTAATCCGCTAGATCTGTCCGTCGCGGCAGCGCCCGGCTCTAGCGATCATGATCGACACCACAGACGATATTGCGGAGGAGATTTCGTTCCAGTCCTTCGAGGATGACTGCCATCTCCTGGGAAATCTCCTCAATGACTGCTTGCAACGCGAGGTGGGGCACGAATTCACCGAGAAGGTGGAGCGTCTTCGCGTCCTGGCACAGGTGAGTTCTTATCTTATCTCCATTCGTTTGTGTTGTCTTTATATCTCACTGTGGCTTTTGGATTTTATAGAGTGCTTGTAACATGCGAGCTGCCGGGGTGGACGACGCATCCGAATGGCTTTCCAGAAAATTGAGGGACGAGCTGGAGAACATGAGCTCGGAGGAGGCTGTGCCTTTAACCAGAGCTTTCAGCCATTACCTCAATCTCATGGGCATAGCTGAGACTCACCACCGGTACGTGCTGTGCTTTTTCCTTTCCTTCACTTTTTCTCACTAAAAGGTGTCAACAACCTTAAATGCAGGGTGCGTCGCAACCGATCCACGCCGGTGCTGTCCAAATCCTGCGACGATGTTTTCGAAAAGCTGATTCAAACCGGTTATTCTCGTGAGGAAGTGTATGAGGCAGTGTGCAAGCAGGTCATTCATTTTCGTTGTGAAGTTTCCTGCGATGTGACGATTTTCTGTCTTCTCTGACCAGGAGGTTGAAATAGTTCTAACAGCGCACCCCACACAAATCAACAGGCGTACGCTACAGTACAAGCATGTCCGCATTGAGGTTAGAATATATTTTGTTTTGAAAAAAGCTCATGCTTATCTATCTGCGCAGCATTTGCTGGAAAGGAATGATCGACCGGATTTGACGCACGAAGAGAAAGAGCAAGTTTACGAGGATCTGGTAAACTGTTTTTCTATTGGTAGAAAGAACTGATCGGCAATGTCTTGCTTTACAGGTGAGAGAGATTACAGCCCTGTGGCAAACAGACGAGCTAAGACGACGTAAACCGACTCCTGTGGACGAAGCTCGTGCAGGTCGATTGCCTCGAGTTTGGAATATTGTTCTGATATTGTTTCTTTACTTGAGTTTAGGCTTGCATATAGTTGAGCAGTCGTTATGGAAGTCTGTGCCGCAATATTTGAGACGAGTGAGCACTGCTCTCAAAAAGGTACATATAAGTGGTTGATGATTCTGTACACTAAAAAGATTGACTCTTTAGCACACTGGTAAACCACTGCCTCTCTGTTGCACGCCCATAAAATTTGGCTCCTGGATGGGTGGCGACAGGGACGGAAACCCAAATGTAACTGCCAAGGTACTCGATTGACGTCTCGCCCCTTGGACGTCATAACTAACCGACTGATTTTTTGCAGGTGACAAAAGATGTCTGCCTATTAGCGAAGTGGATTGCTGCAGATTTATATCTGCGAGAACTTGATGCTTTAAAATTTGAACTTTCAATGAGCAATGGCAACGAAAAACTTATTCGTATGGCTTATCAAGTTCTTTCGGAAGGTATATGTTTTCTATTTTTCTTAGTACTGACGAGTAGTTTCCTTCAAGAGCATGGACAGACGGAAGAACACCATCGAAGTCATGCAAGACACACAGAGCACCATAATTTTGCGCTTCCTGTTCACCTTCCAGCTGGAGCAGATATGTGCGCTTCTACTGGTAACTATAATGCCAAACTTCTAAGCTGTCGTAATAACAAAAAGCCCAGAGGTCGATGGAGAGGCTCAATTACCGTCTTTGAAACTCCCGTTCAACCAACAAACTTATCAGGTACATCTTTGTGTTTGCTTTGCCTCTAGATTAACTTCCCTTATAACAGGCTCTGACGTCCAAAGAGGCCACATCCTCCCCTAGAGCTGTGAAAACGGAGACAGAGAACGGGCTCCCTCCAACCCCCGTCACCCCAAGGAAAAAACCCGGATCTGAAGTTCGCTCCAGCCTTGAGAAACTCTTAAATCCAGGTTTGGAAGCTCGACATATGGATTCTCCATACCGAATTGTTCTTGGACACGTGAGGGATAAGGTGAAAAGGATATTTGATTTGTTTGTTTGTCGATTGACTATCTCACATGTCACTCGGACAGATATTTAGCACTAGACGACGCCTCGAGGACATACTGAATGGTTTGCCAACCGATTACGAACCCGGCCAGTACTACGAATCAGCAGATCAGCTTTTGGAGCCACTATTGCTTTGCCACGAATCTCTGGTATGTGCGTTATATTTTGAAGTTGCCGGCTGATCCAGCGCTCTTTTCAGCAATCGTGCGGCTCCGACGTTTTAGCGGATGGAAAGCTGGCAGATCTGATTAGAAGAGTGGCAACGTTTGGTTTAACGCTGATGAAGCTGGACCTTCGTCAGGTAATGAAATGCACTTGGAAGTCCAAAAAAGCTCACACTTGTTTAATAGGAAGCCGATAAGCATACAGAGGCCTTGAATGCAGTAACTGAGTTTCTTGAAATGGGGACTTATAGTCAATGGGATGAAGAAAAGAAACTGGACTTCCTGATATCCGAGCTGAAAGGCAAACGACCGCTTCTTCCTCCTTCAATTGAGGTTTTATTTTATAATGTTTCTTTTCCTGAAAGCAAAACATTTTTTAATCCGCCGTAATGTCTCAGGTGTCCAGAGAGGTTCAAGAAGTTTTGGATACATTCCGTGTAGCTGCAGAACTTGGAAGCAATTCTCTTGAAGCGTATGTTATCTCCATGGCTTCAGAGGTCAGTCTTGTCTTCTTTTTTCTTTTTTCTTTTTGGTTTTTATAAATAATTCCCGAAATTCTGCTACAGGCTAGCGACGTTCTTGCTGTGGAGTTGTTGCAAAAGGAAGCACGACTTATTGTGAGCGGGGAGCAAGGCAGGCCTTGTCCAACCGGATCGTAAGCTTCCCAGTTACACGTTGGTTATCACTTACATCACTGTTTGTAACAGGCTCCGGGTTGTGCCCCTCTTCGAAACCGTAAAAGATTTAAGAGATGCCGGTACGGTTATCCGCAAGCTTTTACGGATTGACTGGTATCGAGCACACCTAATTGCAAATCACGATGGACATCAAGAGGTATACTTTTTCTTTTTGTCACGAGAGCTTGGATTAATCTCTTCCTCCGCAGGTGATGCTTGGCTACTCGGACTCCGGCAAGGATGCCGGCAGGTTTTCGGCAGCCTGGGAGCTATACAAAGCACAGGAGGACGTAGTGGCTGCGTGTAAAGAGCACAACATCAAAATCACACTCTTTCATGGACGAGGTGGAAGTGTTGGACGTGGAGGCGGGCCTACTTATCTCGCTATTCAATCTCAGCCTCCGGGATCTGTCATGGTATGAAGTGTTTCATGTGAGTATCCATGGTCACTGATTGTTACTTCAAATGTATCAGGGATCTCTGAGAGTGACAGAACAAGGAGAGATGGTCCAGGCGAAGTTTGGCGTCCCGCAGACAGCAGTCCGGCAGCTCGAGATCTACACGACTGCGGTACTTTTAGCCACACTCAATCCTCCAGACCCTCCACGCTCCGAGAACTGGCGGCTGATCATGGAAGAAATCTCCGACGCAAGCTGCACAAACTACCGCGACGTCGTTTTCAAGAACGAGCACTTCATCCCATACTTCCACGAGGCGACTCCGGAGGCCGAGCTCGGCAACCTCAACATTGGAAGCCGTCCAACTCGACGCAAAAAGGCGGGCGGCATCTCCCAGCTCAGAGCCATCCCGTGGATCTTCGCGTGGACGCAGACAAGATTCGTCCTCCCCGCTTGGCTCGGCGTCGGCGCAGGCCTGGAGAAAGTTTTCCTCGAGGGCCACAAGGAAGAGCTCCAGGCCATGTACAGGGAGTGGCCGTTCTTCCAGTCGACCATCGATCTCATCGAGATGGTTCTCGCCAAGGCCGACCCGTCCATCGCCAAGTACTACGACGACGTGCTCGTGAGCTCCGCGGCTCGCAAGGACCTGGGAGAGGAGCTCCGCCAGGCCTTCCACACGACCGCAAAGTACGTCCAGGAGCTCAGCGGCCACCAGAAGCTGATCGAGAACAACAAGACGCTGCGGCGGCTGGTCGAGAGCCGGCTTCCATATCTCAATCCCATGAACATGCTCCAGGTGGAGGTGCTGCGAAGATTGCGCCAGGACGAAAACAACCAGAAGCTCCGCGACGCGCTGCTCATCACCATCAATGGAATCGCCGCTGGAATGCGAAACACTGGCTGAGAGGAGCTACGGTACTCCTTTCTCTCGATTATAAATTCTTCCTGGAGGTTTGCTCTTTCCTTTCTCTTGGATTTCTCTGGTCTGATCGTTTCACTCTTTTCAGGGACTGCTTCCTTCCTTTTGCCCACCGAGTGTATGATATGGACACCGAGTATATGATTACAATAAACAGGATGTGAAATTTTAAATTTGAATTTCCCGCCACTTCTTAAAGTTAAAATTCCCGCCAGGAAAAATATTTAGGGCAAATGGTTTAGGGTTCTTCATGGAGCTCGGAGCGCCAGGGTAGGCTCTGGATTGATCAGGGCAACAATGCTGCGCTGCAGTAGCAGGCCACTGGAAATCTGTGGGAGCTTGCTGGCGCTGGCGCTGCTGCTCGGGCTAGGGATCGACACGGCGCTGGCCCTTGGCGCCATGACGACCTTGGCGGCGATGCGCGGCAGCTTCACTGACGCCAAGAACTCGTTCGCGCTGTGCGTTCTCCGCGCTGGCACAATGCAGCCTTTCTGCTGGGGTACCTTTGTCATCGACAGCAACATCTCCCCGCCAGGGAATTCCCTGATCTGGGCGATGAATGGGGGCGCCTACTTCGCTTGCGGCCTCCGGGCGGATTCACGGTCTCCTCTCTGCTGGGGGCAATCGCCAGGCAGCGATGTCCCGGACGAATTCAAGAACGTCAGCTACGCGGAGATCAGCTGTGGCGGTTGGCACGCCTGCGCTGTGCGGTCCAATTCCTCCTCCACCGCTCCAGGCCAGATCGATTGCTGGGGCGCCAGCGATTTCGGTCAGATCAGCCGCCCGGATCGCCCCTCTCAGATGGTGTCCATCACTGCCGGGGACTACTTCTCGTGCGCATTGGTTGCTTCCACGAGGCGGCCGAGGTGCTGGGGGAAGATCTCCAAGTCCGGCAACACCACGGAGGTGATTCCTCACGACTCGGTGTTCTTCCGGATCTTCGCTGGAAGAACTCACGTCTGCGGCATTTTGCTCGCGAGCCGCGAGGCTCTTTGCTGGGGGAACAACGAGTCCGGCCAGTGTGATCCTCCAAAGGGTCTCTCCTTTGCGACTCTAGCCGCCGGGATCGACCACTCTTGCGGGATCCGAGACGATTCTCACGAGGTGGTGTGCTGGGGGGATAACAAGCACGGTCAGCTGGAAGTTCCATCGGATCTAAAGTTCTCCACGATAGCGGCAGGGGATTTCTACACTTGCGGGGTGACCCTGGGCGAGCGCCAACTTTTGTGCTGGGGAAGCGCCAGAGCTCCGAAAACTATCCGAGTGAAAGATGGACTTTGCGTGGCCGATTGCGAGCACGACCAGTACGATCTCATGAACACCGACGTCAAGGACTGCGCCGGACCCGAGGAGAAGATCTGTTTGCCGTGCGCGAGGTGCAAGGCTGGGAGCTACGAGACATCGCCCTGCGTTCCTTTCAGTGACAGGAGCTGCTCTAGCTGCAAGTGGTGTTTCTCGAGGGAGATGCGCGATCATCCGTGCCGGCGAACTTGTCCAGCGCCGCGGAGCTTGTCGATCTCGGGACCGCAACCATCCGCCGCTGTAGCTTCGGAGCCAGCTGCTTTGGATTCTGGCAACGTGACCTTTCGACCACCGGGCGTCGAGCACTCTGATCAAAGTTTCAAGCGTTACCGGGACGTGACCGGAGTAATGCTGGTGATCATCATCTCTTTGGTTACAATCTTCACAACCTAATCGTAAGCGCTTTCAAACTTGCTTTCCTTTTTCTCGTTGGTACTTAACATCGAACTTTTTTTCTGCCAAAGCAGGGCAAAGTTTTGCGAGCTGACATCGAAGCGTCAGATCGGTCGGTCGGTACCAGTGAGAAAATAAAAACTACGTAAATAATCGTGGAAAGGGAAAGGGAATGTCAACCTTTGTTGGTAAGCTTTCCAGTTTCCATGTTCTCATAGGTAGATCTAACACATTGTTGTGTCAGTGCTGCTAGCTCCATAATTTTTGGCGTCCGGAAGAATTTGAGCTGGTTTTCAAGCTCTCGAATGTCAGCCATCTTCTCATTCTTACGGTAAGAAAGAATTGTTTCAGGTAGGAAAAGCTATGGTTCTCTTTGCTCTTGATTCTCAAGCTCGGATTTTTCTATTCGGTGCCTTTAAAGCCTGATGCGATGCTACAGCTGAGATCTCTTGGCCATTTTGATTGATTGACTTCCAGCTAGCAAACTCCAACAAAGACTACAGTGATTTTCATCAAAGCTCCGCGGCATCGCAGAAGGCATCGAGAATTCTCGCGAGCGCGCCAAGAAACTCCGTTAAAATTTGTTAGAGGGAGGGGATATTCGTCCGGCGGCCCACCGAAACCATGTGAGAAGCACCGAATAAAATTTGTGCCAGGAGAGCAAAAAAAGGAGTGATTTGACTCGCAAATTCTGTGCGCTCCGCAGCTCTCAATTGATCGTGAGAAAGTGACAAACGAAACGAGGACGAAAGAAAGCCCTAAATCTAAATTTCGCTACCAAATTGGAAATGGAGGAGGAAGAACAAATCCATGCTTTTGTTGCTGCTTCTACACACCGACATACACCGCCAAGAATTTAACCCATGGCGCAAAGTTCTTCGTTTCCTCTCTCTTTTTTTCCCTCTCTTTTGCCCCCAACTTTGTTTGCTTTTGCCTTTAAGAACAGGGTCTTATAATTTCCAGGCCGCGAGGAGTTCGCAAGCACGATAGAGAAAAAAAAAAAAGCGTAGAATGAGATCAGCGGTAGTAGCCACGATCTTCCTTGTGCTCGCAATGGTACCAGGTACACACCGCAAAACATTCTCCCCGAATTCTAGCTATCAGGATCTTTCTTGGGTCTCGGCATTGATTGATTTCCTGGTTTTCCCATCGCGAATCCGCGCGATCAGAGCTGCTGGGCAGCTGCATTTCCGCATAGACGCCCCAATTCGCCATCTAAGCCTTGATCTGGCCACGAGATATTTGCTTGTGGGCAGTGTGCCAATCGGGGGCAAATTCGCTTCTGGGTGACTGGATTCCTGCTCGATCGCCTTGTGGGCACTTGCATTCTTGCCTGGAATCCACTCCCCAGCCTCCAAAACCTCCGATCTCGCTGACCCAGTTGTGGATTTGGTTCTTGTCCACAGGTGCTCTGTTCCAGGACGCTGGAGCGCCTCCTCCTCCGACATGGTGCATAGCGCAGCGCCGGGCGAGCCTCGCGCAGCTCCAGGTCGCGCTGGATTGGGTGTGCGGCCCCGGACAGGCGGATTGCGCCAACATCATGGCCGGGCAGCCCTGTTTCCTCCCAGACAATTCCAGGGGCCACGCTTCCTACGCTTTCAATAACTATTACCTCAAGAACAACAAGGCCTATGGATCTTGCAACTTCTCGTTTCTAGCCACCGTGACCACGCATGATCCAAGTAAGATCTCTTCTTCTTCTTCTTTTCTGGGTTTTGGTTTGATCCTTCCTTCGATTCTACTAAAATTTCTACTTCTTTGGCACTAGGCTATGGATCGTGCTACTATCCCTCGCATCTGTGACACCAATCTCACCGAAATCTATGTATCAATCATGGATTGCTTGGCTGGGTGATCCGGGAAATACTTTTGTAATCGTTGAGTAAAAATCGAATCAAAGCACCTTATAAGAATATTCACGTTCAAAATGATGCCAGGAATATCCTTAGTGATAAGTTTGCTTATTAGGGTTTTAGCGAGGCGGGAATGGAGTGCTTGCATCCATGGCGGCATTCCATCGGCATCGATTGGCGCTATCGATGCGATAGGATATCTGGAGCTCAAATTATCGGGCCTGCGCGGCCGTTCCAGGTGAGAAAGCCCTTGGCGGCGCGGGCAAAATGCGCCAGGGCTTTGATGGATCGAGAGGAAATTTGTGGGATTGGAGGAGTAGACGCGATGCCTACATTGCGAGATCTCTGTGGGAGCAAGGTGCCTTCTCATGTCTTGGACAGGTAGTTTGTTTCCCTGAGGGCGTTTCAAATGGAATTTCTAATTTTTTCTTCTTCCAGAGCAGAAGAAGCTGGGCTTAGATTTCCAACGCAAGTCCAGATGGAGGCTCTTCCAGTGGCACTCGAGGGACGGGATTGTATTCTCCACGCACAGGTGCGTACAATGCTTGCTTTAATCCGTTTTTTTTCTTTCTACTAAGCTTTCAGCAGACAGGCTCCGGCAAAACTCTAGCATATATGCTGCCGATATTGAGCAAGATCTCGTGCCAGAGATCAGCAGTACAAGCTATTGTCGTGGTTCCCACTAGAGAACTTGGTATTCAGGTAAGGAAAGTGATTTTACTTGATGTTTCTTATCCTTTCTTTTAGGTGGCTCAAGTTGCTAGATTGCTTGGTGGTGGTGTAGTCCTGGAAGAAACTGATGAGATAGACACCACAAAGCGGACGTCAGTGAGCGTCATGACTTTACTCGACGGTGGAACCTCAAGCAGGCAAAAGAAGTGGCTGAGAGCTGCTCCCCCTCAGCTAGTAATTGGGACGCTCTTCACAGTTTGCAGGATGATCGAGACTGGAAACTTGAAGCTAAACGCCGTGTCCACAATTGTGGTCGATGAGGTAGAATAAAATTAATCGATGAATGGGAATGTGTTTAAGCAGTGTCTTCCTTGGTTGCAGCACAGGTAGATACGGCTGTGCACAAAGGAACTCAAATTCTCGTGTCGAATCTTCTCACCAAGTATTCTTTTGCGGAAAAGCGGCAAACCATCTTTGCCAGTGCCACTGTGCCTCAACACAATCGGTTTATCCACGATTGCGTCCAGAACAAGTGGACCAAGGTAAGGTCTTCACGACTCGAAGTTCAATCCATTAATGCTTTGTTCTTCTTTTGTAGCCCAAGATCGCACATATCTACGTCCGTCCAGAAGTGAAAATGCCATCCAATCTTTCTCACAGATATGTGGTAAGCTCTCCCTAACAATATGAATTCTACAAACTTGTTTTCTGTGCCTACAGATATGTGGAAACGAAGACAAACTTAGTGTTTTGCATGCGACCATCATGGCCGACGCTCCAAAAGCAGCGTTTGTTTTCGCCAATGAGCAAGTAAGTCACCATCTTTGCTATTGTCGTACTAAGGCTCCTGCTGTAGTCAGAAAAGGGGAAGAGAGAGGGGCTGGTTCCCAGAACAAGAGCAATGCTAGATTTCTTCGAGCATAAGAAGGAAGAAATGCCCGAGTCGGAGGCAAGCCAGTGGGAGCTGCTGATACTGGAGGAGTGCATGAACATCCACGCGAGATTTGCAAACTCTCGGGTAAGTTTGTGTACCAGCTGCTTCCGATCTCTAAAACCATCCACGCAGAAGCTCAAAGACAGCAAGTTCCTACTGTTTGCGACGGACTTAGCTGCCAGAGGACTCGACGTCCCGGAAGTCACTCACGTCTACAACTTGGAGCTGCCTTCGAGCACCGTGGCGTACATCCACCGCGCCGGACGAACAGCCCGCAAGCCGCTGGAAGACGAGCAGTGCGTGGTCACGACGCTGGTAAGCGAGCGAGAGGAGTTTGTGATACGCAAGCTGGAGAACGAGATCGATTGCAACTTCGAGCTCGTGAAGTGACACGATCTACTCGGGCAAGCTTTCCAGAAAACATGGATCTTTACAAATGGATCGGTCTAGTTTTTGTAAGTTTCTCGTTCTTATTCTTGTTATTGATAATCGATCGATCCATGGACAGTTGGACTTGATCTTCTAGCATTCCATGAGGAGAGAGTTCACGCTATACACGAGCACGTCATTGTGGTCCGTGGAATCAAAGGCTAGAGTGCCGCGTACCAGGCGAGAGTGGCGATTCTGGCACTGGAAAGGCAGCGTGAAGAGTTCCACCCAAGCCGCGCAATTCTCCATGCTACCGCGAAGTGGATGCCGGAACTGGATCTTAAACTTGCCGTGCTTGTCCGTGGTGGTGACGAAGCTGGAGTGCGAGCAATCCACAGCCACCGTGACCCCTGCGCATGATCTCGGAGAGTTAGATCACTGAAGAACACCAAAGATCTTTGATCCTTGGAAACGTCTTGGAGCGAAGGAATTTTCCATGCATACGTGAAATGATGAGGGAAGAGGAAGAAGTTACCGGAGAGTGGCTTGCTTTTGCCATCATCGCCACACTTCTTGCATAGAACTTGGCCGCGAATCAAGATCTTGCTTTGGCGGCAGTGATGGCCGTGGCCATGCTTGTGGCGATCACCACTGCTTGTAACAGGAACTTCTTCCTCGGGATCAGGAGTTCCAGCCGGAGAAGGGGCGAATTTACGCGATGGAAGAGAAAAAGCTGGAGGAGGAGAAAGAGGAGCGAAAGTGGAAGATGATGGAAGAAGAGGAGGAACTCCTTTTGCGGTGGTGGTGGAGAGTTCTTCCTTGGGCTGGGTCGATGATCCAGGAGCTGGAGCGCTAGCTTTCGCGGGAAACGATGAAGATCCCTCTGGAGCTCGCGCTGGGGCGAGTAAGCTCACATCCTCCTGCCCGGACGACAGCGCCACTGCTGCGTCGGAGCTCGATGGAGTCGTGGGCGATGACGATCTTGGCTTGGGCGGAATGGGATTCGGCTTTGGATCGCCGGGGCGAGGAACCAAAAGAGGATGTGGGGGAGTGAGAGCTGTGCCTCCAGGAGCTGTGCTTCCGGATTGCGCGGGAACGGTGCTTCCGGATTGTCCGGGAGCTGTGCTTCCGGATCCTGGCGACTGATCGCTGCTGGCAGAGGAGGAGAACGATGGCGATGGAGCTGAGGCAGCGAGTTCTTCCGCGGTTAGAGGGATCGTGGTGTTGCATTGAGTCACTGCTTCCGACACGACGATCAGCGAGAGCAAGAAAAAAAACTCTAGATTTCTCATTCTTTGCTCTTTTTTTTTCTTTGTTCCTCCTTCCCCGCTCAAGATTTGGCAGTGTTTTTAATTCGCCACGAATCGATAGCCGTGCAAGCATCGCTCTCGCGCTGCCACCATCTTTGCATTGCCATAGCTCGGCATTTTTTTCTTCCTTCTTTGTCCTTTCCTTATTGGGTGTAAGAGCGCATTAGGGCTTTTTCTAGGGTTTTGGGACGCGAGCGAGGCGCCAGGTACGTCGCCTACGATTCTCTGCTCGATCCTCGCCGGATCTTGCATTCTAGATCAGGAAATCTGGCTTTTATGTGATTTTCTTGCAGAATTCTTGCTCCAAATTCGTGTTTCTTCGCAAATTCTTTCTCTTGAATATTTTTCTAGAGATTCTAGTAGTAGTTCTTCTCATTCGCATTCTTCCTTCCAGAAATTTTCTTGCTTTCGTTCGTGTTCTCGAGCATTTATTCTTTCTTGTGTTTATTTTTGTTTCTACGTAGAAGAGTATCGAGTCGTACTGAAGAATCAAGGAATGAAGGACGGTGGTCGGACAACCGAGACTGAGCCTTCGGGAGGAACCAGCAGAATGTCCTTTGGTGGAGTGGAATCGGACGCTGGCGAAAGCGCTGCCTCGGATGATTTTGGAGGAAGAACAGCCGATGGAAGTGGTGGAGAAAGGAGAAGCTGTTCTGGAAGAGGTGGCGAAGCTGGAGTTTCAGCACTCTTCACGGGCGGAGGCGACAGCGTTGGAGTTCCAACCCTTTCTTCCGGCTGAGGTGGTGGCGCAGTGACCTGCCGGATGAAAGTCGAGGAAATCGGAGCTTTAGCACCGGGTGGCGGCCAAACGTTCGCCTCAACAATGGGCTTCTCAGGTGGCGGCGAAAGAACTTGTCCGTGCGGCGGTGGAAGAGCAGTCGCGGTTGGCGCTGCACCCGCAACATCGTGTCAGCTCGAAAGAGGTGAAAGAAGTCATACCTGGGGGCAACTGTCGAGGTTGGAAGCTGGGTGGAGATGGAGCTGGCGCTTGGAATGAAGGTGCCGGTACTTTGCTAGGCGGTGGTGCTAGGTGCTGCTGATGACCGCGGCCGTGTCCGTGTCTGTGACCAGGAGGAGCCGGATGCTGGTCGTGGCTTCCAGGAGAGCTACTCCTCGGGGAATGGTGGTGAGAACCTTTGGAGGGAGGATAGAAGCCTTTGCTGGGGTGATCAAAACGGTAGCGGTGGTGGTGCTGGTGGTGCTGGTGGTGATGATGATGATGAGGAGGAGGAGGAGGAGGAGATTGAGGAGCGTGGTGATGCGGAGGCGGTGGATGGTGGTACCAGTGGTGGTGCCCGTGGTGGTGGTGAGAATGAGCAGGGTGGTGGTGAGAGCTCTTGCTCGAATGGGTGACGCAAGCGGGAGGGCCGAAGACGAACCTTTTGACAACGAAAGTCGTCCCGCTGATGGCACTGATTTCTACGTCCCGGTGGAGACTAGTTTTCGCTCGACTACAAGAGTATGGGAGGGTGGAAGTCAGCACGGACACCCTGCACTTCATCTTCTTCCTCGCGTAGACGTCGAAAACATACCGCCCTCGGTAGTGGGAGTTCTGGTAATAGGTGTCTCCATCGCACGAGAGCCTCAAGGTTACATCTGGTATGGGGATACAAAATCAGCGAAGAGTTTTCCAGAGCTCGGGAAAAGTTTCAAGTACCTGAGAGCGGAGTCGGCTCCTCGGAGGAAGAGCAGGTCTTGCACTCGACGCTGCCCCTGACGTAGACGAGCTCTTCTCGACTCAGCGCTACCGACGCAGCTTGCAAGAGGCAGAGAAATGCGACGACGAGGCGAATGCTGGCCATTGTCAACGCTCCCGGTTTTTTTTTCTCTCGAGGTATGTTTCTTATAGCGGCAGCCATTTCAATCTAATAGTATTTGCGTGCTTGGCATTGTCCTGACGCCATAACTTTCGCATGCAGGTGAAAGGACGCGTTAGGTTCCCCCCAACTACAACAAACTGTTTTCACGGTCCCGGGAACCGGAAGAGTTCCGTTGGATATCGACGGTTCATGTCGAAAAGTGCGATACACGTCAGCCGCTCTAGGGTATGCATTGCGGCTCTTTGCTCGTTCGTGGTTGTCACGGAGGCCATGGGAAATGGTCCGAGCACGTCCGGAACTAGTCAGGTGCAAAGGCGTCGGAGCCCGGAGTTTCGTTTCCCATTCTTCTACCAGCAGGGATACAGAAGTGGACAGTACTTGATGAGGCTGTCCGAGCATGGACTGGGTGTTGTTATGGTGCCTCCGCAAGTTCATCAAAAGGCCATCACTATCCGAAACGATGTGAACTTGAAGAGGGGAACTCTGCGGCTGGAGGAGGATAAAGAGAACGCGGGGAAGCACTTGGTGTCGTTTTTATTCGATGCAGCCGTTCCTGGGAGGTAAGCACTTCGTTTCTTTCTCACCTCCAGCAACATTTGTTATGTGCAGCGCTTCGATCCTGTTTCTCGCTGGCCCCGGCCCGAACTTTAGCCTTGTTCCTCTGAAGCCGCATTTGTTTCGGCCTCAGCGTGTCACCTTTGACAAGGGACTGGGACAGAGGTTTTGTCAGCTTCCAGGATCAGGTGTCAATCTCTCTCTCTTTGAGGCTGACGACTTATCCAAGGACGGGAAAGATGAAGTTTTCTCTTTGGTTGTCAGACTGGAGTCGATGCCAAAGGAGCAGTCGAGCGATGCCTCGTTACCAGTCGGTGGCCCTCTGCCGCGGAGTATACACGCACAGACAACGTACGTTCTTTTGGAACGGAAGGCTAGCGGTCAATATGGAGTTCGAGTGTTGAAGCAGATCATCTGGGTTGAAGGAACACGCTACGAGCTTCAGGAGATATATGGTGTTGGAAACACCGGTGACGGACATCCTGACAAACACGCAGGCAGGGAATGCGTCATTTGTCTCACAAACCGTCGAGACACCGCGTTGCTACCTTGCAGGCACATGGTAAATCTTTTCTTTGAGCCTTTTTTTCTTGTCTAACTCTGTTGGATGGTGCAGTGTATGTGTTCCGAATGCGCCAGGATTTTGCGATTCCAAACGCAGCGGTGCCCGATTTGCCGTTGTGTAGTTGACAAGCTCTTGGAAATAAAAGTTCCAAGAGCCGAGGACGATGACTTGGAGAATAGACTCGACTAGCTCGGTGAGCTCTTCAAATTTCTTTGGAACAGACAGGAGTATAAGGATTCTTCTTTATCTTTCAGGATTTTCTACGAGAGCTTTTCTGTGCTCTACTCAGGCATGGGCTCGTGTATCGTCCGTGCTGCAAATGTTGCCGCGTCCTGGAGGAGGAGGTAGTGCCCGCCTTACAGGTGGCGGCGGTGTTCCGGCTACAGGCGGTGGAGGAGCTTGGAGAACTGGACTTGGTGTCGATGGCGAAGGGGCCAGGGAAGGCACACGCGCAACCAGATGTCCATCTTCAGAACCAGGAAATTCAACCGATGCTGGAGAGCGTGGAGCTTCTACAGGATGAGTAACAGCTTCTAGAGTCCGTGGAGAATGGAAGTATTCGGGAAAATGGAAGTCATGAGGTGACGGGGAATGAGGAAGTTCCATGGGTGCTGGAGAATGGGGAGCTTGGACGGGTGGTGGAGGATCCGGAAGAGCTTGTGGTGTCGCTGGCGGCGGCGGTCGAATTATGAGCCGCTTGGCTGGTGGCGGCGGTGAGTGCACTGGTGGTGGTGGTGGTGGTAAATTTTTGCGGTGGGGTGGTGGATTGTAAGGAAGGTGACGGGGTTGTTTATGACGACGGTGATGGTGATGGTGTCGATGATGGTGAACAGTGGGACGGTCGATGTCACAGGAACTGGGATAGAAGGCGAACCGGAGTGTTGACGGGTGTCTGATGTTGAGGGTCTTCAAGGAGGGATAGCGGGGAAGAGCTTTCGAGCACGATTTTGGCAAGGAGGACTTGTCGACTCGGACCTTGCACTTTGTGACGCTCGGCTGACGGAGGCTGAAGTGGTAAGATCCATTTGTATCGGTTTTTTCATTGATCTCAAAGTCGTCACCGCAGGATAAAACGAGGCGAACACCTGCCGGGAGAAGTCAGGAGTGTTCTTACAAAGCTGGAAAGCGAAAGCGTACGTACCTGCGATGCCTTTGATCGATCGGAAGCAGTCGAAGCAGAGGACGCTTGCGGCGAAGCTCGTGGTGGAGTGATGCTGCTCGTGGTGGTGGTGGTGGTGAAGAGCTCGAGAATCTCTCCATAGCTCCGAGGCTTGCGTGCTCGCTAGAGCGAAGAAGAGAGTGAGCAGCAGCCAAGAGGCGAGAGATAGCCTCATGGTTAAAGTCGGAGTCACTTGGACACACATCTAAGGTATGCTCTCATCCTTTATACTTCGTGACTCAAGGTTTCTAACGTTTTTGTTTATTCGTTTGTGCGTAGAGCGCAATAGCGCGTGCTGTCCTCGCGATGAATCCATTCTCTTGGCATGCAAAGGTTGGTAACAAGAGAAATCTCTCCCTCTCTTCTAATAGTTTCCTGTGTTCCAGGATTGTAGACTAGATTTGGAACGTCAAAAGAGTTACAGTGGAAGGTTATCTAGACCGAGAAGGAAACTAGTTAGATCAGCAGGGTGGTGGTGGCGGTGGCGGCGGCGGCGGTGATGGTGGTGGTACGATGGTTCTCGGTGGAAGTGGGTGAAGTGGTGGTAGCGGTAGCGGTAGTGGTGGTGGTGGTGGCGGTGGTGGAGGTGGCGATGGTGATGGTGGTGGCGGAGATGGTGGTGGCGGTGGTGGCGGAGATGGTGGTGGGGGAGATGGTGGTGGTGGTGGTGATGGGACGGGTGGCGGCGGTGATAACGATGAAAAGGGTGGTGGAACAAAGCGAGGAGGCTGTGGTTTTGGCAAGTGTGGATGACCATGGTTGCAGTGGGACTCGAAGTTAAAGCTGCTGCAGCGATAGAAATCGAAGCCTTGACGGAGCCCCGAGACGTCGATCTCCTCCACGGCGGACTCCGGGCGGCAGGACTCTGGCAGGGAGTCGCTGTCTACTCCAAGCTTGCATTTCTTGGATCTCCTCCGGTTGAAAGTAACGTCGATCCAGAAATTTCCAAAGAAGCTGGTCTCGCTCTCGGCCGAGGCGGAGCCGCACGACACTGTCACGCGGATGCCTTCATCAAACATGTCTCTCACAGTTAGAATGGAAACAGCACGAAAGAAGTGGAAGAAACAGATACCTGGAACTCCCTGCGCAGCCAACGAGAAGCAACGCTTGCAACTCACTCGTCCCGACAGCCTCAAGAACTGCAAGTCTGGATCTCGGCGAACAGGAACCGGCCATGGATTGCGTCCCGGGAGGCGATGGTGCCAAGGAAAATGCCACTGAGATGAAACTGCTGGCAAAAAAACTAGAGCGACCAGCAGATTAGCAACACTCATCGCTGAGTCACGGTAAAACTCCACCGAGAGAGGTATGTGCTTATATAAAAAAACAAAGGCCTTAACGCTCGCGCTCATACGTACCATCATCTTTGCATGCTGTTCTCTTCTTGTTTTCCGGTTGAGCTTAGTAGCGGAAGGAAAGCAGACAAAGAAGGAAATGGCTGCTCTTATTACCAGAAAAACGTTTTAAAAAGTGTACCTTGCAACGGCCTCAGCGTGGTGGTACGTCGCATCCCATCTACATTACGCTACAGTTTGCATTCTCGCCTCCTTGTTCTCCAGGGAGAATAGGCAGCCTGGACGAAGAAAGTTCATCAAAAGGGCAAACGAAGAAGAGAAAAGAAAACTTTAGCTCTCGCTATATACTTACTGTGGCAATCCATCTTCGCCGAGTTGCAATCCAGGAGCAAGCTCCGCGACAATCTCAGCTGGCGGCTGTCCGCAGCCCTGCATGCTCTGCATGAGCTCCGTGATCTTGTCGAAATCGCCTGGAGTGGTGTCGTAGACTCGGCAAAGTTCCAGGATAAGTTGGTGCTGCTTGGAAAATCGGTCGTGATCTTCCTTGCTGAGCTTGGATTTGTTGGCTTCTAGCCAAGAAGGATATCTCTCGCCAATCTCCTTCATTGGCTCGTGGAGGATTTCCTTGGAAAGGATTTGCTGCATAAAATTCCCCACCAAGGATTCCAAGTCCTGGAAGAGAAAAAAAAACATTCCTTTAGCTCAAGAACAAAGAAGGAAATGAGAGATACCTGTCTTCCTAGCAGACTTTCCAAAAGGCCTTCGTCCGGCTGTGAATCGATGCTATTGACCGTGTTCTTCGTCGTCTCAGCGAGTTTCTCTAGCGTCGCGGCCAATGGATCGGCCGGTGGTGCCGCCTTCGCCATGGATTTCTTCTTGGATTGTTGCAATGACGGCAATCCCTTCCCCAGACCCGCTGGATTCTCGCTCGGAGTGACCGGCGCCTCTTCACTCTGCCTGGAATATCCAGATTCAATCGGAACTGGCCCTCTCCTTACCTTGTCATTGAGCTCGCTGCCAAATCCCTCGTTAGATCGTCCAGAGCACCTGGAATCACGATCGCGATCAGAGAACCAGGAATTCCATCTGCGGCACTCACTGTCGAGGAGGCTGTCGAGCGATTCATCCGTGCCCGCCATGAAAAACCCTACCGCTGTTGGCCAGGCTCGAACACGCGACCTAGTTTGAATTGCCTCGATTTTGAATTTTGGCGCCACACTATGTTCTAGGGTTTAGGGTTCTTAGGATTTATCCGCCGCTGCCGTGGCCGCTCCAGCGCTCGCCATTCGGCGATTCTCCACGCCCGATGCTTGGGATGGCTCGGGACAAATCGCCGCAGCCTTTTTTGCGATGGAGGACAGATCGCAACAGCGCCTGGTAAGTGATTCTCGCCATTCACTTCCTTTCCCAGGCAACTCTCTTGCTCCATCTGGCCATCCTCCATTCTCCTCTGATTTCCATCCTTAAACCATGCTAGCTCCCAAAAACTTATCGTTTGCCATGATCGGGTTTTTACTTGTGGCTTCCACGACAGGCTTTGGCTACATGAACACGATCAGTTCTATGGAAACAAGGGGCCTTCCATTCCACGATCCAAGTGGCTCCTTCCCGATATGTGTCTTGCAAGCCCAAGTCCTGACACCCATCTGTATCGACGAGACGCATGTCACGCAGATGCCTCCTCCAGAGAAGAAGTTCTTCGCCATCTCTGGTGGAGCTCGGTTTACCTGTGGACTTGACTATGGCTCTCGCTTTCCACTGTGCTGGGGTAAGCTCCAGGTCCCAGCTCTTCTCCAAAACGTTAGCTACACGAGTTTGAGCTCCGGTGCAAATCACTGCTGCGCCATCCGGAGCAATGACAGTAGAGTGGACTGCTGGGGAGAGGAGCTAGCGATTGCCCTTTTGGAGGACGAAAGCCTGGTATCTGTGTCTTCCGGGGTGGATTTTTCTTGCGGGGTGACGCAAGATGGAGAAGTTCTGTGCTGGGGATACGTGCCGGATCAAGTTCCACAGCCCAAAAACGAGATTTTTACGTCGGTGTTCGTGGGAGGCTATACGATCTGCGGGGTGACGAGCTCCACAGGGGAAACACTTTGCTGGGGGCAGGACTCGTCGGCTTTCGTGGTTCCCGCTGGCTACAAGTTCTCTAGATTAGCAGGAGGATATCACCACATGTGTGGGATACGATCGGACAATCACCAGGTGGTTTGCTGGGGTTTGAACAAGGCTCAGCAGCTCCAAGTTCCCAGGGACGCCACCTTTTCGGCCATTTCGGCTGGAGACATCTACACTTGCGGGGTCACCCGGGATGCGAATGCAAGGCTTCTTTGCTGGGGAAACAACGCCGTCCAGTACCGGGAGATCGACTTGCATGCTAGCCAGGCGGTGTGCACGAACGAGTGTGGGAAAAACCAGTATCGGGTAAACAGGACCTCCTCTCCGCAGCAGTGCCCGTCTTTGTCTGACAAGGTGTGCTTGGAGTGCTCGGCATGCGTCGGTGGCGACTTTGAGATTTCTCCATGCGGAGCGGACTCTGATCGAAAGTGTGGCATGATAATCGGCAAAAACAACTTACCAGCAAGCTTCAATGGCCCAGGGAGGAGAAATCCAACGGGTTTGTTCTTCATCATGCTGCCTTTGGTCGTCACTTTGTCGCTTGGAATCACGTTCATAGGAGTCTGGGCTTGTCAGGAGTACAGAGAGAAACTTGTTTCAAACAAGCAGCGGCTTAGGAAGGAAGTGATCTCTCTATCTTCAGTGGAACTCCGGGCAGCAACAAACAATTACAGCGAGGAGATGATCTTGGGGAGAGGTGCTTTTGGGACGGTATACAAGGGAGTGCTCCAAAATGGCCACCAAGTTGCTGTAAAGCGAGCAAATTCTTCCAGGTAAGCTACTAGAGTTTTGAAGTTCCTTCTTGTGATGGACAACTTATCAAAAGCTTGGTTTTCTTTTTACCAGCTCGCATGAGATGTTTGACAAGAAACTGGAGCTCCTTGGGAGAGCTCACCACTCTTGCCTGGTAAACCTCATGGGCTACTGCCAGGAAGACAAGCTTCTTGTCTTCGAGTTCATGGCCAGAGGCACACTTCTCGAGAACATCTCTAGCTGCGAATGGATAAGCCGTATGAGAATCGCGGCACAGGCTGCGCGGGGGCTCGAGTATCTCCACAGGTATGCGTCGCCAAGCATGATTCACAGGGATGTCAAGACTGCAAACATACTCCTCGACCGTGACTGGAACGCTCACGTCTCCGACTTTGGCTTGGCACTGTGTGGACCTCAAGGCAGCGCGACACACCTGAGCAACATGACAATCGTCGGCACGCCAGGCTACTTGGATCCAGAGTATGGCCTCTCCTCCAAGATCACAGCCAAGGGCGACGTCTACAGCTTTGGAGTGGTTCTCCTGGAGCTGCTCTCCGGCCAGAAGCCGGTGGATCCGTCGAGAAAGTTTCAGAGCCTGGTGGCTTGGGTGCTGCATCTGGTGGAACGCAGGGAGTGGAGCTCGGTGCTGGATCCGAGCTTGCCAGCGCCTTTGCAACCAGAGCCGCTCTATCGCGCGGTGAAGCTGGCTTTAGAGTGCTCCAAGTTTGCGAGCAAGCAGAGGCCATCTATGACGCTGATCGCGGAGAGGCTCGAGGAAATCGTGGAAGCTATGGCTGGAACTCCTCTTCTTTCCATCTCCTCCTAGATAGTTTGCTTCTTTTCTTTTCTCTCTGGAGCAAAGAAAAAGCTTGAAGCGTTGTAGGGAGAAAGAAAAAGAGAAAGATGGTGTGTTTGTATCGCTCGATCGACTTAAGAGCTATCTTCCACATGTGGAAAAATAGATACAAGTTCCAAAACCAAGTTCCAAAACAAAGTTCCTTGGAATGGTTCTTAGATTTTCCCAGCACAGAGTGGAAGCGTTTGGACTCGACAATCGTCCGCTACGTCCCTCCTCGACGCAGGACAAAGAAACACACCTTGGGCGGTCTCAGCAATGCGCAACGCTTTTGTTTCCTTTCTCTTTTTTCTTTTGCTTTTTAACTCCATCTTCCATGAGCGACCAATGCGAGCGCGAGCGTTTTCTCTGTAGATTATCATGCTAGCTCGCAAGAAATTTCCATGGGCGATCACTATTCTCTTGCTGGGATCATTGGGATCTCTTTTTGTCCTTCCTACCGCAGGCTTTGGCTCCATGAGCACCATAGCTTCCATCTCGGCCCGCCCTCCATCCGTCCAGCCAGGTTCTTTCTCTGTGTGCGTTCTAGAATCGGAACTCTTGACACCAACTTGTATGGGCACGGACATAGCAGAAGTGGAGCTGAAAGACAAGAAGCTCTTCGCCATCTCTGGTGGAGACAACTTTGCTTGCGGCCTAGAGTATGGCTCTCGCTTTCCAGTTTGCTGGGGCGATCTCCAACTCCCAGCTCGTCTGCTAAACGTGAGCTACACGAGCATAAGCTGCGGTTCCAGCCACTGCTGCGCGATCCGGAGCAGCGACAGTAGAGCCGACTGCTGGGGAAACAACGGCAGCCCTCCAGGGGAGAACTTCTTGTCGGTGTCATCGGGAAAGAATTTCTCTTGTGGTCTCACTCAAGATGGCGCACTGCACTGCTGGGGCGGCGTTCCAGAGAGCATTCAAGAGGCAAAGAACGAGAGATTCGCGTCAGTGTTCGTGGGAGGACGATCGGTTTGTGGGCTGACGAGCTCCACAATGGATGCTCTTTGCTGGGACGAAGACCATCATGGGCGATCTTCTCTCGTTCCTCCTGGCTTGAAGTTCTCGTCTCTCGCTGGAGGCCTCTCGCATACGTGTGGGATTCGAGCGGACAATCACCAGGTGATGTGCTGGGGGGATGATCACTTGCGGCAGCTCCAGGCTCCAAAGTCCGCCACCTTTTCCTCCATCTCGGCTGGGAACTTCCACACTTGCGGGGTGACGCGGGACGATCCCGCAAAGCTGCTGTGTTGGGGAAACAATGTGGCCGAGTTTGAGATCGTCAACTTGAATGCAAGCCAGGCCTTGTGCATGGGCGAGTGCGGCAAGAACCAGTTCCAGATGAACAAGACCTCGTCGCAGTGCCCGTCTCTGTCCGACAAGGTGTGCTTGGATTGTTCCATCTGCGTCGGGGGCAACGTAGAGACTTCTCCGTGCGGTGTGAACTCCGATCGACAGTGTGGCAGCGTCAAGATTGGCAGTGGCCGCGACGCCAAGAGGCAGGGTGGCAAGAGTGTCTTCGTCGTGGTCTTGTATGTCTCGGCGACGCTCTCGCTTGCTCTCATCTTCATGGGAGCTGTGTGGAGCTACCTCTGCCGGATCAGGAGAAGGAAGGGCAAGCTCCGGGTCTTGTCCACCAGGAACAACGAGCATTTTGGCAATGGAGTTGTTTCTATCTCCGCAGAAGAACTCAAGTTGGCGACAAAGAACTACAGCGAGGAGATGATCCTGGGGAGAGGTGCTTTCGGGACGGTGTACAAGGGAGTGCTTGAGAATGGCTACCAAGTCGCGATCAAGCGAGGCAAGGCTTGCGAGAGGTAAGTACTTGAATCCTCGAGCTTATATAGCGAAAGCTTGCTCTAACTGGAAACTTATACAGGTGTGATGCCATGTTTGACAAGGAGCTGGAACTTCTCGCTAGAACTCACCACTCTTGCCTGGTAAACTTGTTTGGATACTGCAAAGAAGAGAATGTCCTCGTCTTCGAGTTCATGTCTCGAGGAACTGTCCATGACAACATATTCCAATCGCCAACTTCTAGATCCGGCCCTCTGGAATGGGTGAGCCGGATAAGAATTGCGGCACAGGCTGCCCGGGGCCTCGAGTATCTCCACAAGTATGCATCGCCCAGCATCATCCACAGGGACATAAAGTCGGCCAATATTCTCATCGACTTTGACTGGAACGCACACATCTCCGACTTTGGGATCTCGCTGTGCGGGCCTCAAGACAATGCAACGCACCTGAGCAACATGACAATAGTTGGAACTCCCGGCTACTTGGATCCCGAGTATGGGACCTCTTCGCAGCTCACGCTCAAGAGCGACGTCTATAGCTTTGGAGTGGTTCTTCTCGAGTTGCTATCCGGCCGTAAGCCGGTTGATCTATCGAGACAGATCCAGAACCTGGTAGCTTGGGTGATCGATCTGGTGGGACGTGACGAGTGGAGCTCGGTGTTGGATCCAAGGTTGGCAGTGCCTTTGCAACCCGAGCCACTGTTCCGGGTGCTAAAGCTGGCGCTTGAGTGTACAAGGCTCAAAGGCAAGCAGAGGCCATCCATGACTCAAGTCGCCAAAACTCTAGAGGAAGTATTGGAAGCGATTGCTTCTTCTCCTCCTGGTGGTGGTGATACTTCTCCTCTTTCTTCCACTGTCGATGTCAAAAGCCTTAAGGAGATTTTTGAAGCTATGGTTGTTAATCCTGGCTCTGGTACTGTGACTTTCTTTCTCCCTTTGGAGAATTGACATCGTTTTCATTGATTTCTGCAGTTTCTGTGAGAATTGGCTAAGTCTCTTGTGTCCGTTTCACAAACAAGCCCGTTCCTTTGAGAAGCTTTTCAGATCCATCAGCAGTGTCACTACAGGTTTGTATTTCCTTTTGGCTGCTCTCTAATATTTAAGAACTTTCTTTGTCCCAGGCAATTGCTACCGGATGATCTGGGTTTCTTCCACTGGAGATCCTTGCATGGAGACGCTGCCTCACATACGTCTGTAGTGGGTACTTCCTGCACCGTCAGAAAATAGCGGATGCTGCCATCCAGGAATCACAGGAGATGGCGAACTCACGTCAAAAAGGATGGTGGCATGACTTTCAAAGCTGGACTTCCTCCTTTGGGCTGGACTTGGATTCCTTGCGCACAGAGCACCTTGAATATTGGACGTGGCAAGTTCTCCAGGCATGGTGCCAAGCTAATATGGTATATAACGTCCCTTACACCAGCTACATTACCACAGTCAACATATATTAACAATTTGACTTCCCAGGATATAACAACCTCACGCCCCACAAATATGTTGGACCACCTGGGGCAGATTGCAGTTCTCGTGGGATTTTTTGCTTGGTGTGACGTCCTATCTCCTCCATGAGTTAATGCTGTCCCATGTGATAGCCTTGTGTTTTGTAGTTTGGAGTTTCTTAATCTTATATGCTGTGCTCCTGGTGTCACTGATTCTTCAGTTCTATCCTTCTTGTGTGGTGCTGGCAAGAGTGGAGCAACTGTACAGAGGAAACATTATGAGGTGATAAAAGAGTTCATATGTAGTGTAAACAACACTAACATTGTGACTGCCCACATCATGGTAGTAAGAGTGAGAAGTTTTGGGGTTGCAATGTATTAATCCTTGTAAGAAATAAACATTACTTTTAAAATAACAATTTTATTTTACCTTCTTACATATATGTTAATAAGACTTTAAACAAATTATTTAGGTAGTTTTTGGTAATATAAATCTAAGTGAATTTCAGAAAATTTTATCAGTCTCTATAAAGAGTAAATATTAAATTTAAAAAATAATAATTTAGTTTCTTTCATATGAATGTTATAAATCCAAAAATATTAAGCACAACCACACTCTTTATAATTTTCTTCTTCTTCCCTACTTTTGCCTTTTTCTTTTTTATTTTTTCCATATGAAACTTGAATTCCATATCTTCCAAAAAAAAGAATAAAAAGTTCATTTTTTATTTTAAATAGGAAAACTATACCTTGAAATTTTCTTGCTATATTTTTAATCTATAACTCTTAATTAGGATCTAAAACTAAAGAAAAGGCCACTATCTGTTTTAATTAAAAACAAAGAAAAAACATAATTTAATTGTTTTATAGAATAAAAAAACAATCTTTACTATAAATGATTCCTTAAATTATTTGTTAAGTTTTATGAAAAGGCCATCCTAGTTAAGGTTCATTGTGATCAAAGAATAAATAAATTTAAATTTTTTTATAAAGAATAAATATTAGTTTTAAAATAATAATTTAATTTTACTTTCTTTCATATAAAACTATGAGTATAAAGACCTCAAGTAAAATTATATTCCAACCCTGTAAGATAAAAAAAGAGATTGTAAATTTGAAAATATATAAAATATATTTTCATTTTATTCTCTATATTAAATTTATTAGTGTAGAGCTCTCATTAAACCAACAAAAAGCTAATAAAAAAACTAATGAGACAATGAAACAATGCTTATTGAATAAAATTAATGCAAACACTTGACTTTTTTTTCTTCTTTACTTCTTCCATATGAAACTTGAAATCTTTATAAAAAAAAGATAAAATAAAACTCTTTTATTTTTTTAAATAGAAATATTATACTTAGAATAAAACTTTAAATATGTATTTTATCAAGTAGAATCTAAAACTGAAATAAAGGCTTCTATATAATGCTCAAAATTTTTTAACTAAAAATAACATATTTTAAGTTTTATAGGGTAAAAAAGCTACCTTCACAAAAGTCTATTCTTTTTAGTTAATGTTTATTACAATTAAGGAAGAAATAAATTCAAATTTTCATATAAAAATAAGTGTTAAATTTAAAATAATAATTTAGTTTTTCCTGAAAACCAAAACTTCAAAAACCCAAATATAACCACAAATTTTATGAAATTTTTCTTCCCTATATTTACCTCCTCTTTCTTTTCTACTTCTTTCACATAAAATTTAAAATATTTTTTTGAAAAAAGAAAAAAAGAAGTTCTTTTTTTCCATGGAACTCCAAGCTATTTGCTAGAGATAATTCTTTGTTTTTTTCCTGTTCATTAATATTGCAATTTTCTTTCCTGGTTCCATTTATCTCATTTTTTTCATTCATTTCTGCAGTATTTGGCTCTACATCTCACAAAATAATACAGGTTTGTATTTTCTTTTGGTCTTTAGGAACTCAATCTAATCTTAATTTTATGATTGATAATTCAATCAATTATTACTGAGACAACGTCTCCTACAAGTTAGCCACATTGAAGGGCAATTGTATCAGCACTTGCCTCTACTGTTTCTGTTTTCTTCAGAGTAGTCATAGCTCTTGTTTGAATTTCTTGCATGCTACTACTGCCATTGGTGTTGCTCGCAATTGTCAATGCTGCTGAAAAAGGTAAAGCAAAGTTTTCTTTGCCTTGTTCCACAGCAACGGTGGTTTCTGAAGGGATGGATGATATTTGGCTACTATCCTGGAAAAGATATTCACCCATGCTGAGTCATGTTTTTATTTTATGTTCAGGACTTTGCATTCGCCCATATCCGTTGGGTTGGGAGCACTGGTACTCTTTGCCTTCCTCGCAGTCTAAGTTCCACCCACAACGCTGTGTGAGCCATCTAAGAACTATTCATGCTGCCACAAGAATGGATAGGGCTGCATGTGAAGAGATCAATAGGGTAATAACCTGTAAAATGGATCATGTGTGTATGCGTGCTGCTATAGATCTATGGCGGCCAGCTTTAAATAAAAACTCCGATTTTCTTTTCTGAGTCTCGAGCTTAATATCCATCCTTCTTTCGAGATACCCCGTGAAGTTTTCTTTTCAATCAAAATGATCTTGTGATTGTGTCCAGTTCCAAAGCAGGAGTTTCTACAAAAGACCAAAGGTGAATAGATTCAATCATGTATAAATAAAACACATTTTCATAGCTCCTTTTAGATGTGCCATTGGTGAATCGTGATTCCCATTGTTGGCAAGGGGCGATCGCGTCCCTCAAGACGATGCAGCAGAATTGCGAACTTTGAGCATCTCGTAATGCTATATTTCGCTCAAATTTTATTGAGACTCAAGTATATTAATAGTCATTTAGTGAAGTTAAGCAGTTTCAATAGAATGCTGCCAATTTGCAAACAATTGCATAGAGGAGAAACGAAATTGCATTACATTGTGAAAAGCTTCGCAAAGTTTTCTAAATGTCCTAAACTAAACCATTGAAAGGACATGTTGTGATATGCGCCTGTAGCTAGCTGTAAGCCATGCGTGTGCAATGCGAAGCTACGACAATTGGGAGAGTTTCAACTCTTGTGGCCTGATGCTGGCTGCAGCAACAATCTGCTGGGAAGAAATGCTGATGCAATCCCAATTCTTTGTCAAACGAAAGAATTGAGCCATTCAAGTTCGTAAGCTCCACCTTCCTACAAACTCCTCAAACATCCTATAAGAACTGGACTGTATTGCCTAATGAACCGGAGTATGAGGTTCGTGGCATTCTCGATTCCAAAATCCTTCCTAAAAACCACCCAGAAGTTCGTGGCTTTGTTTGCTGGAGCGCATGTAGCTTGTGGAATAGCAGCTCAGGCTCTGTTGGGGAGGTGAAAGGAGTAGTTTTAAAAGCTGTCGTAGCTTCTCCTCAAGCTTGTAGTGACACTGCTTTTCCGGCGTATAGATTTTCGGGAAGTCTCGACATGACTGTTTAGTCTGATTCCCATCTGATGTGCTTTGGAATGGAGGGCGGCTTTGGAGCGTCGAGACTTTCTTCCAGATGTCGTTTGCGTGTATCATTTTGCCAGCCTTCAGGGCTAGGAGGAGCCTTGGCAATCCATGGATCCTGTGCTGCCAAAACCATACGCACCACCCCTTGCAATTCTCTCAAGCCCCTCATGCTCGAGCTTGTCACCACCATGCCGTCAAACGCCACACACGCATTTGGATAGCTGGTCACATCAATCTCCACAACCTGTAGAACGAAAGAAAAACAACATTAAAACTTGGCTTATCCGAAGGTGAATCCATCCATACCTTGGGATACCTCTGGCTAAAGTGCGTCAAGATGACTTGCTCCGCTTGCATTCGACTTCCAACTTGCAGAGCCTCGCTCACGGTGCTGTGCCGTTTCTTCCGAGCGTGACTTTCCAAGCAATCCTCAAACGTGGCCTCGTGAATGAGCAGCGTGCAGCCGGCTCCAGCTTGAATGAGCCGGTCCGAAGGTCGAGTGTCACCCGAGTAAACCAAGTGCCATCCAGTTTGTCCGTGTAGCACCAGACCATAGGCCTCGTAGCAGTGATTAACGGGAACACTGGCAATGCTCTTCAGCTGTAGAGTCTCTAGGACACGTCCAAGGTGGTGCGAGCCTTCAAATTCTGCAAAGTGCATCACTACGAAAGCTGGTAATGGAAAACCCGACTGTGCGTGAGCATTACCAACCTGATAAGGAAAAATGATCTTGTCATGAAGCAAGAAAAGAAGGAACCTGTACCTCAGTAAGCCACTTTACGACGGCAGTGGATCCAATAACCAGTAGGGGCTTTGTTCTCGCCCGTGCTTGCGAGCAAACAATGGCCACAGCTCCCAGGACATGGTCGGCATGTTTGTGGGATAACCACAGACACTCGATAGAGTTGACGGCTTCCAAAGCTTTGGCCTCGCCGTAACTCCTGAAAATCTGTCCGAGCACGCCTTCACCAGCATCGAGCAGCATTGCAGCGGAGCCTCGGAGACGAAGTAAAACACCACTGCTTCCCCGGTACTTACTCGGCTCTGCCGAGCCCGTGCCGAAAAACTGCACCTCAAAGTCATCGCTCGAGCACACTGCTGTGTGGCTTTGTCCACAACTCTGGCGTAGCATACTTCGTTTCATGGCTCTTGCCACGAGCTGGTTGGAACTGCAACGCTGGCTCTCCATGTTGAGAAGTTTGTCTCTGAGCCAAGGCTGCAGTTTTAAGAGGTCCTCTTGATAGTTCGTGAAGTTGAAGTTGTCGATACATTTCGAGTGATCCATGCGCACGACAATGTCACCGCAGCTTCCCCGTTCCAAAACCATCCGCGAAAGAAGGTGACCACTTGTAAGGCTTGAACGTTTCGCTGCTGAAGGCTCGCACTCATTGCAGTTAGCTGGGATGGGAAAGAACTTCTTGCTCACCATGTTGAGCATTGCTGTGGTTCGTAAGGAAGCCTGGAGTCCATACTGCGGCGAGCTTGCATTAACCAGGACATGGAACGACTGATAATTGTCGATCCATCTGCTGTACTCTTCAGATGTCACCACTGGTCCCGGGCTCAAATGAATCACTGCTGCTATTCCTTGCGGGTGCTGCTCGCAGTGCAAGATAGCATCGGCTTCCATACCAGACAACGTCGAACAGTCTGGGATATCCAGTATGAGCAAAGAAGAATTAAGTTTCTTCAAGTAAAAAGTATACCCGAGGACAGTGGTGACAGGAGAAGAACCTGGAGCTGTACAATCCGCAATGCTGTGGTTGCCTCTGGTATCTCTGACGAAAACAGGATTGGAGTCTTCATCGAGCTCAGGCAAGAGATCTTCCTCATGATGCCGAGAGAAAGATGCGTTTTGCTGGTAAACACAAGACTGGCAGCAGTTTCCCGACGCCAGAATGGGGGAGATAACGACATACTCGTCTTCAAAAACAGGTACGTTTCCCTCTGTCCATTCACTGACAAAAACCTGTAAGAAGCTGGGATCATTGCAGTAGCCACTTAAAATGCAAACTTGAAACTCACTTTTGGATGCCGCCAGCGAAAGATGTGACGAAGTGCGTGAACAAACGCAGAAGAACCCCGTGGTCCAGTTACTTCTAGTTTTTCGTGACCATCTTGAGCGAGCCTTAGAATGAGACCACCGATGCCACCCTGTGCCAAAAACAGAATCAAGTCATAGGTGATGGCAAGTCCAAAAACTTACAGCTGCAACTGGACGAATCGAAGTAAGCACAAGGCAAGACAGCTTTGCACAAGGCCGAATCTTGTGCTCCAGAACAAGTCGACTAAAGCCCTCTGGAGCATTCACCAGGTACTGGCCTGCTCCTCCGCCGTGCGACAGCAGCAATGAAGGACCGACTCCATCGCCACTAGCATTCAAAATCGTGACTTCCATCGCCTAAAACCCAAAACCTAGTTCAAAACTTCTCTGCAAAACGGGCGAGTTAGCTACGAGAAAACAAAGAGAGATGACTTACCTGCGTGACAGTTCGTTCTTGGAGGCTGAAGCAGCGTATATGTTCGACATAAGCATGCACGCCGTTTCCTCCTCCTCTCCAGTGTCCGCTTTCATCCTCTTCGCCCGCTCGGTGTCCGAATGGATTTTACAGGCACCCAGGATCGTCGTCCATGCCACTGGAGTTGGCTCATACGGCATTCCACCCAGTAGCTCCTCGGCCTCTTTCAGCCTTCCAGCTCTTCCCAGAACATCAACCATTCCAACGTAGTGCTCCACACCTGGTGCCAATCCGAAGTCTCTCCTCATCGACACGAAGTAGTCTCGGCCTTCGTCCACCAAGCCCAGGTGGCTGCACGCTTGTAGCACTGTCGTGAATATAATCTCGTCCAGCGCCATGCTCTCGAGTGCCATGCACCAGAACGTCTCCAGTGCCTCGTTGTTGAAGCCATGCTTTGCATAGCCGGAGAAGAGTGCAGTCCATGTAGCCACGTCTCTCTTCACCATCTCGTCAAACACCGCTCTAGCTTCTCCAAGGCTTCCACACTTGCTGTACATGTCTACCAGCGAGTTCTGGACGACCGGGTCTCCGTCAAAACCATCTCGGACGATTTCCCTGTGAACCACCATTCCGTCTGCCAGGGCTCCCATGCCTGTGCATGCGTTTATCACGCTAGCGTACGTAAAGCCATCCGGTCTCACGTCCGAAGTCTCCATCTCGTGATAAAGGTCGAGCGCCTTCTGCGGATGGCCACCTTGAGCATACGCCGAGATCATCATTGTCACTAGGATCGTGTCCTTTTGAGGTGTCAAGTCGAACATCCGCCTCACTTCCTCCAGATTGGCACACTTGAGGTACATGTTGAGCAGAGAGTTTTTAATCACAAAGTCCAGCTCCATCTTCTCGGATAGAATCCGAGCGTGAATCTCCCGGCCCTTCGAGAGAGATCCCACGCTCGAGCATGCGCGGAGAACGCTCGCATATACGTACGCGTCCGGCTTCTCCACTCTAGCAACCATCTGTTCGTAGAGCTCCAGAGCCTCGGACGAATGACCATCTTGGGAGAAGGCCACGATCATCGTAGTCCAGGCAACCACGTCCTTGTTGGAGATCCTGTCAAAGACTTGCTTCGCTTCCCTGAGGCTCTTGCACTTGGCGTACATGTTGACGAGGGCGCTGCTCACAACCACGTCGAGCTCACTGCCTCCAGCTCTCAGCCTCTCGTGCACAGCCTTTCCCTGCTCCAAGCCCCCGAGCCTCGAGCAAGCGTCCAAGACGCTGGCAAACACGAACAAGTCCGGCCTCACTCCTTCCAGATCCATCCGCCTGTAAAACTCCAGCGCCTCCTTGAAGCTCTCGTGCCGGACGAGCGCTGCTATCATGGAGCTCCAAGAGATCACGTCTCTCCTCACTCCCATGCTGCTAAACACCTCCCTGGCCTCGTCCAATCTCCCACACTTGGAAAGCATGTCGAGCAGCGAGTTAAGCACTGGAGTCGTGGCTTCCAGCCCCTCGGACACCACCCTCTTGTAGAACAATCTCCCCTCCTCCACAGCTCCCAGGTCCGAGCAAGCTCCAAGAACACACGACACCGTGAAAGCGTTTGGCGCTACGTCCATGGCCTTGAAAAGCTCGATCGCTTGCCGGGGATGCCCAGTGTGGGCATACGCTGCGATCATGGCAGTCCAAGCCACTGTATCCCTGTAGCTCATCCTGTCGAAAACTTCTCTTGCTCGATCCACGCTGCCACACCTCGAGTACATTCCAATCAGCGCAGTTGCCACCACGATATCTGATCCACAGCCACAATCCACGATGTGAGAATGGATTCTCATCCCGGTAGGGAGATCCCCCGGCTCCAAACAAGCCGCGAGGACCCCCGAGAAGAAGAAACTAGTCGGTCTTACCTTGGCGGTGTCCATCGCTCGGTAGAAATTCAGCGCCTCGCGCATTTGCCCGTTCTGGGTGTAAGCCATGATCATCATCGTCCACGAGAAGCTGTTCTTGGCATCGATCGCCTCGAAAGCCTCCCTGGCAAGATCCGGAGCGCCGCATTTCCCATACATCTGGACAAGGAGATTGCCGATGAGCGTGCTGCCGCTGTGATCGCTGCCTAGGACCCTCGCGTGGATCCGCTTGCTCGCCTCCAGGTCCCTGGAGATCCCGCATTTCCGTATCAGCGCCGAGAAATCCATGAGGCCGACGCTCCTCTTGCGCTCGTCGAGAACCTCCTCCGCAAGTTTTGCCCACACGAGGAGATTCTCTACCTGGAGACGCTTGAACCCGGCGATCCAGGAGAGGTAGCTGCCGGACAGCGATCGGAGCGGCTTGCCGGCATGCCTGCCGAAGGAGACGATCGTCTCCCCGGCCCCGATGGAGGTATCCATAATCCCAAGAGCCCTAAATTTTCTTTCATTCAAAGGAGCTACATTGGAGCGCCATAGAAGCGCTCTCTTCCAGGTATTCCACTAGGCGATCGATCACTCCAGGGCATTCTCACGGGCACTGGCATTGCGATGGAGAATACGCCCAGGGTGATGGGATTGGGAATGGGGATAGGATCTGCGGAGGCGGTGAGATCGTGAAATTTGGGTCTGGTTCTTGAGGCGATGCCGGTGGCAAGACATCCGGGTCTGGTTCTTGAGACGATCGAGGTGGGGAGGATGGAGAGAGATCTGGAGCGAAGATTTCGGGTTGTTCTTGAGGAGGTGCCGGTGGGGAATGGGATCTTTGAGACACTGATGGAGGAAGGACCAAAACCACGTAGTTTGGTGTTGCTGCCGATGGAGGAGAAGGATTTGTAGAGGGCGCTGGTGATGGATTCGTGTCCTCGTATGCTCGATCAAGTGGTGGAGGAGCTGGAGTTGTGTCTTCTACACCAGTTGGCGACAACGATGGAGAAGATGATGAGCTTGGTGGTGACACTGGGACTTCTTGATCGGGACTTTGCGGGAGAGATGCTTCGGTGGGAGCTTGGCTTTGCGAGTCGGAAGGAGAAAGTTGTGGGGTTTCTTCCGGGGTTTCTACAAGAGGTGGTGGTACCGCTGGAGCTTCTGTCAAAGAAGGTGATGGGCTTGAAGTGCCATCTTGTCCGGGCCGAGGACGAAGAAATAGATCAGATGGGGATGGTTCCTCCGGTGGCTGTGACAGTGGAGTAAGAGACTGCGAAGGTGCGACTGGGAATTCTCGAGAAGATGGTAGACTTTGCAGCGGAGAGAATGCCGGTGACAAGTCTGGGCTTTCGGCTGGAGGACTGGCTTCCTTGACAACAGGTTTAGCGATGGATGCTGCTGGAGCTGTTACGGTCGCCGATGGAGATGGAGCAAGAGCAGTGTCTTGGTGACGAGAACTTTTATGCTCAGAATGGTGCCCGTGGTCCGGGCTTTTGTGCCGTGACTGGTGATGGTGGGAGCGTTTATGGCCGTGGTGGCGATTGTGGTGGTGGGACTTTTTGGGATGGGAGACTTGAGGCGGCGATGCAGAAGCACTGGGACATTGTTCCGGTTGGAAGACAAAAGCCGCGACGTGCCGGCTGCCTCTGGTTTGCGCGAAATCTATATCCACCTCTCGACCATCTTGAGGAACAGCATTGTCGCAAGACCGTGGAAGTGAGCTCGTTATCACGCTCAGGCTGCATTTGGCACTCGGGTTTCTGAGATGAGCCACGAACTCGCCACTGGACCGGGTGTGGATGATCCTGGATCGATTGGTATCGGCACAGATCAGGTTGAGATAGACTCCTGCAAGGAAAAGAGAAGAGGCAGCGAGACTAGAAGAGAGAAGCTCGAAGTATACCTTTGAGTCCTTGCTGGGAGTGAGAGCAGTCACGGCAAACGACAGTACCCGTGAGCGCTACGTGCGAGTTTCTCTGGTGGTCATGGCGAACCTCCCTGCTAGAAACAAGCAGGCACGCTTGGAGGAGGACTGCTAGGATCAAACTGGCTCGAGCAAGCTCCATCTCCTTTGGCAACAGTGTAGAGGTAAAAACTCGGTTTTTATGGCTCGATCGATTGGTTCTACCCATGACATCTTCTTTGCATGCAGGCTCTAGGACGTGTGGGATCGACGTGAAGCATTTGATATCACCACCTAATTTTCCAGGCCGCTGGTGGTGATCCAAATCGATAAGTTTGATCAAGCAGGAAAAACAAGCGCTTTCTCGATCCATGGTTCCATCAAGGCAAGTGGTCGTCGGGTAATTCACTATCCAATGCCAATTCCCGTTGTCTTGATCTTCCTTTCGATTTTCTCCAGGTTTATGATGAGGGCGCGGGCACGAGAGCTTCTCGCAAGGACAGATGCTAAAGTTCAAATTTTTAAAATTTAATCAGCGATGCTTTTGTTCTAGGGTTCTTCGCGGGGATGGATGTAGAAGCTCCTCCCGCTGATCCGGGGGATGCTATCCATCCCTCCCTTCTTGTTACTTCCGCCGACGATGGGAGTCGCGAATGGGAGAGCCAGTGCTGGGGGTGCTCCTCGTATCTCATCCTCCCTTTCTTCTCCGAGGCATTCAAGTGTGGATGGTGTGGAGCGGTCACACTGAGCAAGCCCAGGCAGAGAAGCAGCCAGCGATGGCGCAGGTGTGCTACCATCCGAGACTGGAGTTTGGTGGCAGTGGTTCTCATGATCATCGCTCTTGTCACTGGTAAGTTCTCAAGGTACTTTGCTTTCCTTCTAAAACGATCAAAGATAGGATTTTGCAATCACCCTCTGAGACCTTTGCTTTCCAGGTGGAGGAATATGGACTGTGTACCCGGTTTTATATCCACAGCCAACTTGGAGTGGATGCTTCCACATTTTCATCGCGCTGTCTCTGGCTGGAGCAACGCTTGCGAGTTACAGTCTAGCAGCATTCACTCCAGCAGGAGCTCTAGCGAAGGTGCCGTGGGGATCACTCCAGCCCATTGGCAAATCAGCTCTAGATGGCTACACGTACTGCGCTTACTGCGAATGTCCCAAGCCTCCGCAAGCCCATCACTGTAGAACTTGTGGAACTTGCGTCATGGACATGGATCACCACTGCCCTTTCGTACGTTGTCTTCTTTTTGTGGTTTCGATTTTCACCTGAACTGAAACTCTCTCCTTTTTTTGTATACTCTAGATCGGGAACTGTGTTGGAGCTCACAATCACCCGCATTTCATCCTGTTCCTGGTCTACGCGACGATAAGCAGCTGCTACGTTTTGCTCATGTCCGTGCTCGCGGGCTTAGCGATCTGGCCACCACTGCTGCAAAGATACCAAGGCTCTGGCGAGTGGGGATTGTTTCACTCGGTGGGAACAATTCTAGCAGCGAGCTTTCTCGAGGCGTTTGAAGAGTTTGAGGAGGACGAAGACAAGGGGCTGCCGAGTGTATCGGCGAGGTCTCTGGCACTCATCTATCTCGTCATCACCGCCATGGCGATTCTGATCGGGCTTGCTCTACTCCTCCGCCAGCAGATACAGCTCTTGTACGCAGGGCAGACGTATCTGGAGTCGATCCAAGCAGGCGATGGCGAGCTTTTGCGGCCCGGGTGGCACAACCTGAGGCGATTGTTTGGGAAGAAGCATCCAGCTTTGTGGCTGCTTCCTGGATTCACATCGAAAGGGAGCTACTTGAAATTACAATGAGAGCTCGTTCTTGGCCGCATGCAATAGTATAGTGTTCATTGAAGATAAGATCGAACCCAAGACAATAAGTTTTGCAGGGACAAGTCAATGTAATTGTATTGATACATAGTATTAGCTGTCACTGTCCCTAGTTATGTAGAATACAATAGAAAAAAGTCTTAAGACGTATGATAAAATAAAAGCTAATGTTAAATACAATTTTTTGAAAAGAATATTCTCCCGAATTCTAGAATCTAATCCTTCTATAAATTGAGCACATCCAAGCCTCTTTCTATCGCATCCTTCTTTGTTTGTTTCTTGTTAGCTTGCTTCAGATAGTTATGGCCTATCCTCGAGTTTCTTCCGTTCTTGTGCTGCCATTGCTGTTTCTAGCAATTACCAATGCTGCTCGTGTCTATGATGGAGGTACATTTTAGCAAAGTCCTATTTGCATACATCTACCATAAAATGTGTGTTCTTGTTCCACAGTAACGATCCTTGCTGAAGGGGTGGATGCGATGCACGATTCAAGATATATGGCTACTATGGTGGAAAACAAAGGTAGCTCAGCATTATATTCACCCATGGCCAGGAGCTAAGCTCATTGTTTCCATGTGTTTGTTTTTGCAGTGCTAACAAGCGTCGTGGGTGACACTTACTGTTGCCTCAAGAACGGCTATGGGTGCATGCAAAATTGTGACTCATCCAAAAACTACTCATGCTGCCTCAAGAATGGATATGGCTGCATGTGGATGTGCGAGAATGGTGTGGAGCACTACTGCTGTGAGAAGAATGGCTATGGCTGCACCAAGATGTGCCCCAAGTCTACACTCACTTCTGGCAACCTGTAAAATGGTGTGGATGTGGATGTGTATGCGTGCCGCTATAGATCTATGGCAGCCAGTTCCAATAAAAACTGAGTGGCTCACTCTCCGATTTTCTTTTCAGAGTCTTGAGCTTAATGTCATCCTCTATCTTGTCGCATTTTTTCACCACATTTCCCAAGTTTAAATAAAAACCGAGTGGTCTTTCATTGAAAGATCTCTCTCCTATATATTTTTCCAGAGTTCTTCTTTCAAGATCTGGGATTCATTAGCTTTCAGCAAGACTCGAGAGAATATGGTGGAAATCGCTTTGATCATGGGAGCCCCTTTTTCGACTTGGGAAAGCAGATTTCACTAGGAGGATGCAATTTAAGACTTTCAGCGTGCGGGCACCGGTATAAACGAGACTCCGACCCGGTCCCGACTACGGCTGGCCTTTCTTTGGAAACCCGGCAGTGTGATTTCCTGGAGTGAGTTCGTATTTCATAAAAAGCAAGAACTATCCAAACAGGTTCATTGTTACAAACAAGTAGTTTCATATAGCTCACTTTGGATGTGAATTCAGGAAGCAGGCTACAAAGCTGGGTGCTTCTACGCGAGTTTTTCGTGGGCTGGGCTGTATCTGCTGGACAGAGGAGGACAGCAAATTGCTATATGGCAGTGATCAGAATCGTTCTTACCAAGTGAAACAATTCCAACTTTTGGTGAGAACGCGGAATCTGCGAGCACGGACATGAGCAAAACGTGGGAGCTGCTAAAGTAACTGTGGCGTAGACTGGCTTGGATGAAGAGCCACTGTGATTGTTTAGAAAAGAGTTTCTATGAGCTGCAGAATCACGTGCATGGCATCGTGCTTGCGTAAATGCAGCAACACTGTAGCTCGCGAGTCGCTGGAGTTGCTCCAGCGAGAGAAAGTCCACTCTAGATTGGCTGTGGATATAAAAAAACTGGAATGACTGCTAGGCTAGAGGTGCGTCTTTTGATTATGTATATTTGCATAGAGTCATCCGTGTCCATCGTAGCTTCCACATATTTCTTTAATATCATCCTCTTTGAAGTCTTTGAAGTGCTGCACCTCTTCAAGTGACTTCAAACCTTGAGGCTATAAAAGTTTAGCACTAAAATCACAAACCTACAACACATAAGCTTAGCAATACCTGATTTCTAATCCTTCTTAAGGGAAGCAAATCCTTGGCAACCTTATAAAATGCAAAGCTAGAAAGCAGTTGTTAAAAAACAAAGTCAAGTGAGGGATCATAGCCTTGTTTCACTTTCCTGATGGCATCTGTTGCCATGCTGGAGTTCATAGCATTAAACATATAATCTAAGTTTATGCGTTTATGTGTTTGCTCGGTAAGTATGTTGAGGACTGTAATTGGTCTCACCGGCTTGAGAAGAAAGCTCTTTTCTTGCAGAGGTAAGAGATGTTCATCCACTAGGAGGAAACACACGAGAGAATCCAGAATGCTAATCCTCTCTCGGATTCCTGCAGTCAGGTTTGAATCTCCCCCAGTTGATGCAAGGCGTTTTCACCAGGCAGCGGACTCTCATTCTTGGCCTCTTTCGAAGTGAAGTTCTTACACTGAGCTAGAGGTCGTGAAGAAAACACGCATCGCTTCCAGTCCAGAGAACAGCCCTATGGAGCAAACCTACAACCACAGGATGGGCTGTAAGAGAAACACATTAAAGCACAATCTTCGCAACGGGGAGCTGTCTGGAACAAGAGGACATCTCCCAACAGCTCCAGGGGACGCCATTCGTGCTTGGATCGTGGACCATTTAGACAATCCGTAAGTTCTTTTGTTTGTGCTCTCTTCTATTAACCAAGGAATTTAGAGACCGAGCAAGAGCCAGAAAGAAGAATTCCCAAGGCTGAACAGGGGAAGTTTATAAATTTCACACTAACGTACGGACAAGAACTTGAGGAGAGACCTTGCCTTCCTCCTCGCGCGAGGCGATCCAGACGCGATCAGCTCCTGCAAGCTCTCCAGAAGCAGCGCACTGGACGATCCGGAGCTCATGTCTCGCGATTCCTGCTGCGTCTGCTGCTCCACCATGAGGCAGTCCCGGATCATGTCGCCACCGTGCTTGCACAGCGCCAGAAGCACCGACAGCGAGTTCTCCTTCCCTTTGACGCTCCCAGTGCGCAGCAGATTCACCAGCAGCGGAATCGCCAGTAGATCGTCGCTGAGAGCTTTCAATCCTTCGTTGCTCTCTCCTAGCAGAGCTAGCACCGCCAACGCATCGTCCTGGACATCGCCATCTTTCGAGAGCATCGCCACCAAAACTTCGATAGCTCCCGCGTTCACCACCCTGGCCCTGTTCCCCGGATAGAGCAGCAGATTAAACAGCGCGCTCGTCGCGTCCTTCTTCGCCTGGAGCGATCCTTCCAGCAGCAACGTCACCAGCGCCGGGATCGCCACTGCCCTGCTGCCGATCCGGATCCGGTGCTCGTCCGTGGAGGACAGACTAAAGATCGCCGCCGCAGCGTTTTGCCGAGCCTCCATGCTAAGTCCCTGTTCCACCACCGAGAGTATCGGGTCCAAAGCATTCGCGGCCATGATCAGCTTCTTGTTGTTGTCGTAGATCGAAAGGTTGAGCAGCGCAGTGACAGCATTCTCTTGGGTCTTGGAGTCATTACACGCGAGCAGCGGGACCAGGAAAGGGATAGCGCCAGCTTCCGCAATGCAGATCCTGTTCCCCGTCCCGTTCTTCGCGAGTAGTCTAAGCTCGTAAGCCACTTGTCTCTGGACATCGATCGAGCCTGTGGCCAGCTTGCCGACGAGAAATGCCGAGGTGGTCTTTGCGATCTCGAGAGCCTCTCTCGAGTTGGAAATGTCGTCGTCGGGAAAGCCAGCGTCGAATAACTCGAGGCTGACGTTGTTGTCGTCACACCAATGGAAGATGAGGCTTCGTAAAGCGTAGTTTGGAATGAGGCCGAGGTGTATCAGCTTCTGGCCGCTTGTGGGGCACGTAAAGTGACCGGCAGCAATCCATTTCTGGATGTGTTCCTTGTCGTATGTTTGACCGGTCGCAATGGTCACCGGGTTCCTCATAAGTTCCAAGGAGATCGGGCACCGGAACTCGTCTGGAAGAACTCCGACTCTCTCCTTGAAACCATCAAGCTCGGCCATAGTCTCCTCGAAGGCCTCTTCCCCAGCTCCATACAAGAGCCTTGCTGTGGACCGGACGAGACGTATCAAACCTCGCAATGTCGAGTATGCCACCTTGTCTCTGGACGCGACCTTCTCTCTCAATTCTTCCAGCAGTCCCGTAAGTTCCAGCTTACAGTCGCTCCAATTTTTCAAGCCGAGGCCAGCAAAGAGCTTCTGGAGTCTCTCGAGGGAAACGTCTGATGATGGTCCGTCACCTCTTTCCATAAGATCGCATAGCTCGGCTTTGAGGAGCTCCTGCCCGGGATCTAAAGCCTTGCACCAGCCTCTAGCGCTTTGCAACTTCAAGAGCAGGACGTGCTCCTTTATCTCGTCCGAAATCTCCAGCAAACTTAGCGGAATTACCTCCAAAGCCGCGGCCATCTCCTCGTTGGCCACCTCAAACTTTTGGATCGTCTCTGTGGAGCTCACCATCGCCCACGTTCTGCTACTGCTCTGGCTACACGAATCCACGAGGAGATTACACTTGGCGAGGAACTCGTGCATACTCCTAAAAGCCAAAACTGCTGACGGAGGCAGCGGTGGATTTGCATCCCTGATCTCCTCGAAAAATGGACCCAAGAGCTTCACCCGCCGGACAATCCCCGAAACGCAGTGCCGGTAGCACGCCTGTGGTCTTTCGTGAACCGAAACCTGGTGTGCCAATTCGATCAAGTCCCTCACTAGCAGCATTCCCGGATGGCTTGGATACGTCTGATGATGGTTCGCGGCATGGAGCAGCGCAAACGGCCTCTTGAGCTTCATGATCCTCCTGCGCTTGCTAAAGTACCAGAAATCCGCCATCCTCGAGCCAAACGAATCCTGGAATCCGATCGATTCGCGAAATTTCTCGCGCCTAGTGGAAGATTTCTGCCAAGAACCTACTAGATCACAACGAAATATCACAAGAAAACCCCGATTCTCTGCGTGCCGTGCTCGATCACTGGAAGATTCTCAACGCCGTGCTTGATTGGGACTGCGGAGAGAATCTGGCACCGAGAGAACTCGCCGTGAAGAATCTTGTCCGAGAGTCTAGAGAGCCCTAAAACCCTAGCGCTAGATAGAAGAATGTGATAGCCGAGGAATGCGACAATACTACCTCCTCGCGCCTTGCCGTCCATAGCGATTTTCAAATATGTGCCATATGGCCGCTAAAAGAGTTAAAAAAGGATTCTTCCGGAATGCCGCCATTTGGCAGCACCACAGGCCTCTAGCCCCGCCATTGGCCAAAAAGAACAAACCGCCACGTGGATGGTGACGATGGGCACTATGCCAACGGTTGGATGTGCCAATTGGCGGTTGTCCTAGCTAGGGCTCCTGTCTTGTCCGGTCAAGCGTGGAAGAAAGAACGCAAAGCGCCAAGGCAGTGAGGTAAAAATCTTCTTTCGTGGAGATCGTCGGGCGATCGATCCTTGATCGATCGATTGATCGATTGGATCAGCGAGCGCGGCCGTGGATGGATCTTACGAAGCTAGATCTGGTGCTGGCAGGGCAAAATGGGGCTTTCTTTCGCGAAGCTGTTCCAGCGATTCCTGGGGAAGAAGGAGATGCGCATTCTCATGGTGGGGCTGGATGCCGCTGGAAAGACCACGATATTATATAAGCTCAAGCTGGGAGAAATCGTGACAACGATCCCTACGATCGGTATGGTTGCTATCTTTTGGTTTTTCGAGCTTTATTTCTTGGTTTGGAGCAGGATTTAATGTCGAGACTGTCGAGTATAAGAACATTAGCTTCACAGTGTGGGATGTTGGCGGTCAGGACAAGGTACTAGATTTTTTTTCTCATGCTGACTGAGAATTTATACTTCTTTCCTGTGATCTAGATCCGGCCACTCTGGAGGCACTATTTCCAGAACACTCAAGGTTTGATCTTCGTTGTGGATAGCAACGATAGAGATCGTGTTGGGGAGGCTCGAGATGAGCTCCATCGCATGCTAAACGAGGTTTGCTCTTCGAAGTTCGAAGTTGACATTGTTTTCTCATTGATTTCTCATTGATTTTCTTTTTCTCAAGTCCAGGACGAGTTGCGAGAAGCGGTCTTACTCGTGTTTGCCAACAAGCAGGATCTACCAAATGCCATGAACGCTGCTGAAATAACAGACAAGCTCGGGCTACATTCACTCAGGCAGCGCCATTGGTAGCATCTCTTTTCCTTCTCTGAGGGGATCCTAACGCTCTTTCTTTTGGCTCTAGGTACATCCAAAGCACTTGTGCTACCTCTGGAGAGGGTCTCTACGAAGGTCTCGACTGGCTTTCAAACAACATTGTCACGAAGGTATTAGTCTTTCATTTTGTGAGCTCTTTCCAGCTTTGATCTTGTTTGTGCCAGTCTTGAGCTCGTGGAGATTTTGTTTTCCTTGCGATTGAGTTTATCCACCACTGTTAGCATTAAGTACCGGTTAATGCAAAGGCATTTCTTCTTCCATGGATATTTCTAACGAGGTAAGGAAATAACTGAGATCTATGGGACGCACACAAAGGTCTTGACAATGGCAAAGTCATGGGCATTGCAATTGCCATCTTTGTCACTAGTTCCAAAGATTCAGCCGAGAAGGACTCCCTTATGCCGGTCACACAAGGTAACTATTTGTTCGTCTCTGCTGGAAGAAACATCAGAGTCTTCGAGGATTCGAGCCAGACGCCTAGAAGATGAGAAGGCCGGGCTGTGCGCCACACTCCTCGGGCTACATGCTCCTTTGCTACTTTTTCAATCGGACATAGCCATGGCAGCGGAAGAAGCAGGTCCTGGCTACTCGGCCGCGAGTTATTACACTTCGCTGGGATTGTTCGTGCTCGCATTGCCGGGTCTCTGGTCGCTCATCAAACGCTCGGCAAAATCTAAGGTACTGTTTTGAGTATCTGAAAACTAAATAATCTCTTTTCACCTTTCAGATAGTCCGGAAGACTTACGTAGTTCCTGGCCCATCTCAAGAGAGTGGCAAAGCACCAAAACAAATTGCTGGTGAAATCTCATCGTTTTTCACCAGAAACAACTTCACCATTGTCGACAGCGGTGAAGTAGTCAGGTAAACGTTTGCTTCTGCTTTCCAGCAATCCCCGTCATTTTGTTTCCGTGTTCTAGATTCGAAGGACTGATGGTTCCAAGCCGGGGCCAAGCTGCTTTCATCATCTTTTGCACGTTTTTGAGCTTAGCTAGCGCAGCTTTGGTACTCACGATCACAGTTCCAGTGGTAGGAGACAAGTGGTATTGGCTCACGGCTTTCAGTCCCCTCGCGTAAGTTTGTCACAGATTTCTTAAGTTTCTCGTTAGAGGTCACTCATGAAACTGATGCAGTGGCGCTTACTATTGGACGAATGCATCTCGAAAAGAGGAAATCCAAGTAAAGCTCGTGGTGGCCGACGATGAGTCTTCCACAGATGTATTGGTCCAAGGCGATGACGAGCAAATCGAGCAGCTTCGTAAGGAGCTGGGATTCATGGAGAAAGGCATGGTTTATGTGAAAGGCATTTTGCAATGAGGTAACTTCGGATACATAGCGAGCTCGTCGAACTTACAATACAATAAAGGGAAGACTTACAGCTCTTTCTCTTTCTTCTTTTTTTTTTCCCTGTTGAGGGCAGAGAGAATTCCTGTGATGAAACAGGAAGCAAATTTACAGTGCGGCTGCCGAGAAGATGGTTACCAAAACTGATTGTGGAGAAACAATCTTACAGTGGTGGCCGACTTTCGTTGCTACGTTGGCCCCCTCAAGTAAAGTTTTTGGTTTTTTACTGTGCTTGTTCTAGTCCAGCAGTGGAGCCATTGTTCTTTATGTTCTTCAAAATCTGCGATTAATTTGGAAGCTTTGATTCAATGTAGGAAAAAAAAAACTTTCGCTTTTTTCACCTGTCGCAGCATGAATGTTTCCTTTTGTAACGTGTTTACCCGTTCCTCTAGCTCCGCATTCCTGAGCTCCAAATCCCGGGCTTTTGCTTCGAGCTCAACAACGTAAGCCTTTTTTCTCTCCCTGGCTTGTTGTGCCGAGACTCGATTGCGTAAAAGTCTGCACAAAGAAAGCCTTGTTTCAAGTTAGAGAAAAGAAACAAACTGTCAAAGAAGTCGAGCTTAGAACTGCGAGTGAAAGATGGGAGTACCTTTTCAATCGCTTGTGTTCTTTGTCAGCAGGAACAGCACCCCTCTTGCGAGAATTGGATGCTGCCGTGTCTTGCTCTGGCAACGCAGTCACGATTTTACCTCCAGGTAAGTCGGGGACCTTTCTTACTTCCGAGTCACTCTCATTTCCTGCCCAATCCTCTACTCAATGCAAGAGCTAAAACGAAGAGCGAAAGAAGAGAAACAAAAGGAAGAAAGAAAAACAAAAGAACTTACCGTCCACTTTCATCTCGGCGTTGGGAAGAGCCATCAAATCGCTGAATTGCTTGTGCATTGTCGGCGACGCTGATGCCGCTGCTTGCATCCTGGAACAAATCTGGAGCTGGCTGGAGAGGCAGAGAGAGAGAGAGAGGAACTTCTAGCAATCGTTCCTGCCCGCCCGCCCGCCCGTCCAAGAAAACCAAGAAAAAAAAACACCAAGCGAAATGAGGCTCGACATCTCCCGTTTCGCTCGTCGCGTACCTCAGAATCATCGCGTCGATTGCTATGGATGCGTCCTCTCGTCGCGATTGGGGCAATGCCGAGCTGTGGAAGCGAGAAACACCAGCACCAAGAAAACTCCTCCACTCTAGGGTTCCTGACGCCAGCCCGTCCGGCGCGTCACAAACACGTCAGATTTGACGGGCATCAAAACGGCATCCGACACGCAACCGTTAAAATTGACGGCTAGAAACGTGCCGCGTGGCAAATATTAGTTATTTTTCGGTGCATAATCTGAAAATCATGAAAAAGAAGAGTTTGAAATATTGATTATAAACAATTTAAAAATCCAGAAAGATGGAATATGGATGTGTGATGATAGAATTCCTCAGTCGGAGCTAGAGACTGTGCAGTATAGGCTAAGTATCCATGGTTCAATCAAGGATGGCGATGATCCCTTTAAAGAATCTCTCATAGTTGATTCATTAATCTAAATTTTTAATCATATAGCCAATGGAAACCAGGGAAACTTCATTTTTTCTACTCTCGACTCTCTCGACTCCAGCAAGTTCTCCCGTCGGTGTGCCGCGTCGGCTATGGAGGAGGAATGACGAATCACGCCTTCTGTAAGATCCTCCCTGGAGCTACCGTGGCTATACTTGGTTACTAGGGTTTGCGGGCCCGCGGGCATGGATCTGGTGGTGACGCCTCTTTGATGACGATCCAGCAGCTGCTAACATCACTACCATTATAGACAGACATAAAAAAAAACCATCGCTCAATTCAGTCTGGCACCCTTATTAGTAAGCCCTTTAAAAAATCTAGCCACAATTGATTATTTTGATGATCCATTTCTCATCCTCTGCGACAATGACAGCAACGCTCGGAGAAGCCATCCTGTTTTTTTTTTCGACCTTTGTGCTGATTCCCTAAGCTTGCGAGCTTCCTTTTGTGACTCCATCTCCCAAAGAATCCATACATTGTTAATAACCTAATATGATGCCTTTTCCCAAAATCTTTATATATTGAAATTTTAAACTAAATATAGATATTAATATTAATTCACAAGTTCCATGTTCACACCCTTCGAAATAGGCCAAGAATGCTAATTTGCTGCCTGCTGGCACAAAACCATGAGATTGAGGAAATCCAAACCTATGCAAAAGCTTCTGGATTCTTTAGTGTGTTTTAGAACGTCTCTTCCAACTTTCCTCGCGTCCTTTATCTGTCAAGAAACAAGAAAATCGAAATCGCTCAGGAACTTAAAAAGCCACTAGTTTTAAAGCTGAGCGTCTCACCTCTCTAGCGCACGCATACCTCTGCATATACGAGTTTTCTCTAAGCCAGCATATGTTGGAGCTGTCTTTCTGGTGCTTATTAGTTTTCCAGTTGTCTGGAAAGAGGAAACAGACCTCTCCCTTCAGAAACTCCATCAGATCGTGGAGTTTATGGTGGGAGCTTGGACATGGTGCAGTGACATCGCCCGATCAAGACCGAAGATCCGCGTTCTGAAGAATCCATCTGTAGATTGAAAGAAGATATTTCTTTCCTGCTCACCTGGAGGAAGAGGATGAGGCTGATAGCTCGTCAGTCTAGACCAGGCCAGGAAAGAAAACGAAGCAACTAGAGCAAAAACCAGGGAAATGACTTTGGTGATTATAAGATGTGAGCTCTTCCCGTTGAAGCATTGTTAATTCCATTACGTTGAATAGAATGATTTGCCAAATAAATGACAGCTTGGCCGAGTGGTCTAAAGCGTTGGATTTAGGCTCCAATCCTCAAGGGCGTGGGTTCAAATCCCACAGCTGTCACGAACTTTCTAAATGTTTCATGGGTATTTTTCTGGCTTGGATGCGTCAAGCCGCCTCCAAGCAAATTTGTTTGACCAAATGTGCGTGATCCAAAAAGCTTCCGAATATTCAGTTGAATACGAAACACCATATAATGTACACCTATGCTGAAGTTGGTCATGCTTTGAAGCAATCCTATGGAAAGAAGATTTTCTCTGCCGACTGCTTTGTAGATTCTCTTTCTTGCGCATGAGAACCGGCTGGAAGATCTCAAAGTGCCAGGCTGAGCTCCACGATCTGAGGAGAAGCAGCTTGGCTGGAACTTGGATCATCCTCCACATCCGGCAAATGTCTCAAGGCAAATAGCCGGTATCATGGATCAACTTGCAAGGCTGAAAGAAGACCTTGAATACGGTGGGTATGTAGTGAAGTCTCCTCTTTGTCGTCACAGATGTTGCTCCACAACAAAGGGAAGTTTTCCAGACATTTACGAAAGTTCTCTTTTGATTTTGATTCTCTTTTTTTTATCCAGAGACAAGACAGTGCCCCCTCAGTGAAATAGTGAAGAAAATTCTTTGTTGGGAAATTACGACCTTACGACCTTTGGATGAAAGTTGTGGTGATAAGCTTCTTGTATGTGGCAATACTCTTGGCCAAGCAATCTACTACAGATTATTGATGATGTTGTCAGAATGCAAAAAGCTTGGAGTGGAGTTGGTAATCTACCAAACCTCTTTTGCTGAAAATTGTCCACCAATACATCAATTGAAACCTTCTCAAATAGTAACAGTGATTCAGCCTAATCCTATGCTGAAACAAAAGAAATTGATCATGAGCCACTCCAAAGTTCTCAATCCAGTTATAGTTGAAATAACTGTCAAAACACTCCATGTGTGCCATTTGAGGAATCTCCATAGCATGGTGGAAATATCTAATTAGGGAGGTTCACTTGGAGGAACTTGGAGCTAGAGAGAGCCTAAAATTATAGGCTATAAAGCTAATGTCTTACAAAACTAACTAATGCACCTTGAACACTCATAAGAGACAAGGAACGAAAAGATCCCTCCTTCTGTAAGAGTCAAAGTTTCAGATTGAAGTAAAGCTCCTGTTTTTGTTAATACTAAAACATCAAACAAGAATATCCAAGGATACTATATCCATTGTCACCTGAGTATTATAAACCATTAAAATTTGTTACCTCCTCTGTCATCACCATATTAGCAGCAGGAAGCTGAGGACATCTTTCCATTAAAGACCAACTCTCTGCAAGCCCACCATGTCCACTTGCCATGATCCACCACTGCGTTCTCTCTAGTATGGCAGGATCCACAGCCATGGCTTTTACACAACGATGGCCGCTGGAGGCAGCACTGATGACTTTGTGCTGTAAGTACTGAGCTTGGAACATGAAATCCTGGATTACACTGAAAATCTTTTCCCACTGATGCTGTAGGTATTGTTTCACCTATGGGAAAGTGCAATACGTCAATACCGAACAAGAAATATGAGATCATGTTGTGGCATGGCAGCAAAGCTCTATCAGGTACTTTCCAGCTAACAACTACTATATATGTTTCAAACAATAACCTAGAGACTTTTCCATTGTCTTGGCGTCCTCTGATACCAATGTTATGATTCGGCGCAAAAAGACAGAGATCTAGTCACCCTAGACTATACTACGCCACCTCTTGAGGTTCCTCACCACCCAACCACCCCCGAGCTACCTCAAAAGCTCCACTGCACACTGTAAGCCCTAGGGTAGGTTAATTCCCTTACCCTAACATGCCTTAATATACCCTTGAGCCTCCCTTTGACCGACGTTGACCAATCTCAAGTAGGAGTTTCTTGAGTGGGAGATTTGTAGCCATATCCCATATAATGCACTTTTTCCATCTTTGTGAGGATTTACTGTCTAATAAGGGGGTGGTCCAAACTTGAGTTGAGTCAAGTCAATGCTAATTAACATAATCAATCATAAGTCTTATGAGGAAATGTCATGTCAGAAAAATGTTATTCTTTGGTGAACTTGAAATCATAGAGAAAACTTGTAATTTCTAATGTGACCTATATAATAAAATATTCATTGAGTAGTTTTCAGAATTAAAAGTTTGTGTGAAACCATAAAAGGTTTTGGGCCTTTTTATCTTAAATAAAAATAGGAATATTGAAGTTTGCACGAACCTAAAAATTTTATTGTACATAAATAATTTAAAACACTAATTCACTTATTCATTCTTTAGGGTTTCATAGAGATGGGAAGCAAGGAAGATAAAAAATTTATGAGTAGTAATAGCATACAAAAATGTGAGAATGTTAATTTTGTTTCACTACCATATTTCAAGACTGAAAGATAATCTTGTAAAAAGGCATGCTTGTGTTGTTAGGATTTTATCCCTTATACCCTAAGCCAATTGGCTAAAGGGGTGATCACTTGTGCAAAGCCCTCTTCTTTATTCTATTATCCTAACCTGGTGCCTAACAATCCTCCCTTCATCAGAGAATGATCATCCATGATCATACTTAGGCCACGCTCTAGTCACCATGGTCCTTCTTTTAGGGTCTACCAAACTTTGGTTCTCCCTCTAGATCCACCATGTTGAATATTCCTTTAGAATATTCTTGCCCCACTCATCAGCCATGAGAATCGAATTGGTCTCTGATACCCATGTTATAATCCGGTGCAAAAAGATAGAAATTTAGTCACCCTAGACTATGCTATGCCACCTCTTGAAGTTCCTCACCACCCAACCACCCCCGAGCTACCTCAAAAGCTCCACTGCGCCGCCGCTCCACTGTGAGCCCTAGGGTTGGGTTTTGTCCTTTACCTTAACATACCTTAATATACCCTTGAGCCTCCCTTTGACTAATGTTGACTATGTAATCAAAGCTGGCGCCTAACAATTCTTCCCCCCCAACAAAGTCCTTGTCCCAAGGACAAGTTATACGAGTGATCATCCCTTTCTAGGGGACCTTGCTCAAGCTCCTGGTCCATCTTCCACAGCCGTATACATTAAGGAGGCATTGGGCCCATCACTCCGAGATAATACACTTTTCAACTAGCTGATATAAAATACCGGATGAATTTTCACCCCAGCTGGCAGCCGCACCCTATAAGCCACTTTACCAATGCGCTCCAGCACTTCATATGGACCAGCATATCAATGGGAAAATTTATCACTCTTCCCTGTCTGTAAAGGCACTAAGGTGTTCTGCCACTCATTTGACAGAAAGATCACTCGCACAAAGACGAGATCACCCACCTTATATTCCCAAAATTGGCGATGCTCATTGGCAAACTTCTCTGCTCTATCCTGATCTAAGATCAGTCATTGTAATAAAGAATCCTATCCACCAATGAGAAAGGGGCTTCCATCTAGTC